AAATGCAACTGTAATAAGATTGTTTTAAATTCTATACCCCTTATATTGGAATTAAATACCTGTGAAAATTTAAGTCAGTCTTAAAAAGTAAGAATGTAGTGGATTTTTAAATACAAATTAAGCACATACAATTTTTCAGAATTTATTCAACCACATGAAAATTTCATAAATATGACTAACCTGTTTTTTAAAATATTTTATATAACTTTATTTATTCATTCATTTATTTATTTCAATTTGACCAGAGAGGGGGGAGAGAGAGAGAGAGAGAGAGAGAGAGAGAGAGAGAGAAAGCTGCCAGGTCTGGGACTTGAACCAAAGTCAGCCACATGGGAGTCCGGCACCCTTAACCACCAAGCCGCCTGCCAGCCCCACTGACCTGTTGATATCACACATTAATATTGAACTATGTTTCCAAAGCACTGTGAAGAGTCTTTTTTCCCATTCTTAGCTGATTCAATCTGGTACCTTAAAAGCTATTTTCAATTCAGGTCATTTGACCACGGTGATGATAATACCACTTTTCCTATTTAAAACAAAAACCTGGCTAATTATATTCAATCTTTGCTATCAAAGCAAACATAGTTTTAAGAGTCATCTGAAGCAGACAATAAAAATTATCAGAAAAGTCTTAGCTGAATTAATGGTCTTCTATCTACTGGCCTTTTGTGTACAGTATTTCTAATAAACGCCAAATACCACGCTTGCTTCACTCCAAAACACCTCAACTGTTACAAATTCATCCACAACAGGTTCTAATTCCTTGATAGCTTCTATGTAAAAATCACATTTCAAAGAAGAAGAAAATGTTATTTCTTTTCTTTTTTTTGGAGAGGTTTTTGCTATAGGACGCATGCGCTCACCAGACAGACAGAGAGGCAGAGAGACAGAAAGCGAGAAATCACCCCCCAGGGGGGATGGCCACGCCGCAATCCCTTCTCCTCCATTCTTTTCCCGGGATCTTGGGCACGCACGCACACGTGCCCAGCATGAGTTTAAGCCACCGGTCCGGGACTCGAACCGCGGTCGACTACGTGGGAGTCCAGTGACATAGCCATTACGCTAACTGCTGGTCCCAGAAAATGTTATTTCTTTTAAAAAGCCCCACTTCATAAGAAATATTGATAAGGGAGGTCATGCATATGTGGGGCAGGGAGTACATACAGTAGATGGAAATCTCTGTACTTTAGGCTCAACTTGTCCATGAACTTAAAACTATTCTCGAAATCAATGAAAGCAAACTAAAAAGCTCTGAAAGTTCCACTAAGTTTACCAGAATAGCATCACTTTCTTCTCTTCAATTGCTTGAAAAACATTCGTTCTCACACTCTCGCTTGTATTTATTTCCATATGTTAGATTACATTTCCTATTTCACGGTTTCAAATACCCCTCATGCCTTATGCTTCTTAAACAATGTAAGATTACCTTTATAATTACTTTGTACAGAAAGCTTAATTCACTTATAAAGAGAGTGGTAACTCTTTTAGACACAAATGAATTAAAATTTTGCTTTTTAGGAAAGGCACCATGTGTAAACAACCCTTTATACTTTATTTTTTATTTATTTATTTTTTTTGGAGAGGTTTTCGCTATAGGGCGCATGCGCTCGCCAGACAGACAGAGAGAGACATAGAGACAGAAAGCAAGAAATCACCCCCCAGGGGGGATGGTCACGCCGCAATCCCTTCTCCATTCTCCTCTCGGGATCTTGGGCACGCACGCACACGCACCCAGCTTGAGTTTTAAGCCACTGGGTCCGGGACGCGAACCGCGGTTGACTATGTGGGAGTCCAACAACATAGCCATTATGCTAACTGCTGGTTCCCGACTTAATCTTACTTTTGAAGCATAAGAACTTTCAAAATGTTCTGATGAAAACTAAAATAAATGTCACATAATAGGATAAGTTACATAGCTATTTCATTCTGGACATGAAAAATTAAATTTAATTGTTTCATTTCTAGATTACTTCTTGCATATTAAACTCTGTTGGTGACGCAGTATGGTTACAAAGGCTTACCTTTTCTTTGCTTTTTAGTCCTGGTATTGGCCCAAAAATACATTGCTACTGGACATAAACAAAAAGGACGCCCCTATATTTAGTAACCTCTCAACAAATTAATCTAGGTAACTAGATTTAGCTGAATCATAAAGGAGCAAAATGGAAAAAAATTCATTATGTTTTTAAAGAATTATTTTATTAATTAATTTATTTACTTTAATTTGGCCAGAGAGAGAGAGAGAAAGAGAAAGAGAGAGAAAGCAAGTTGCCAGGTCCAGGACTCGAACCATGGTCTGCCATGTGGGAGTCCAGAGAGCCTCAATCACCACACCACCTGCTGGCCCTGGAACAGATTAATTCTATAATGCTCTAGACTATAAATAGTAACAAGGATTAATTCTAGATAAAGTCGCTGTTTAACCTATGGTATAATTTGTAATTTATGTTTATGTTTTTAAATAATTTTTTATGGAATACGTATTCGTTGTTGAAAATTTGGAAAATTCAGGTAAACGAAAAAGAAACATTATTCCTCACATTATGTATGTAAATATATTTGTATTAAGCAGTGAGCAAAGTTTTTCTCAGTAACTTACCTTATTAAGTCAGAACTATCTTTCACCTCTTTTATTCAAACTATGAACTTTTGTCAAAAATACTGTTAGCTAAAAGTTTATAGCAGCATTCTCACCTTTTTTATCTATAACATATTATTATTCACGTGACACATACATATCTACCTACAAAGACTGACAAGGGTTATGTCTAATTTCCAGTATACCACCAATAACTCTCTTACTTTCTTTAAGAAAGCATACCAGCACACAAGTCAGTGAATAAGTCAATTATCCAGTAACTCTGAGTTTAGTCTAAAGTATATATTTAAAAAATGTAAGTTACATGTAAAGCTTGGCACTTTAACACTTGTTTTAGATCTCTAAATGATCTCAAAGCACCAGTGTGACTGGATATAGTAGCTGAGAAGCATTGGCTTAAAGTTCATATTACTAGTCCTATCAGGAAATCTTTCAGAATCCTTATATAAAAATGAAAGTCATGGAAATAGTATGTTCAACATTACATAAGTCAATAGTGTGAAGAAATTACGGTACTCTAGGAAGACTAGTACATTTTGCTAGTTAACGTACAACTGGCGATATTTATAAAATATACTCACCATTTGTGCATTAGAATCCCCTAATGACTGAAGTTCATATTGAACGGGTTGCCCATTCTGGTCCACTAGATGGAACTGCTCTGCAGAAAAAGTCTGTGCCTGAGTCCGGGACCCTTGTATATTCTGTGATGTGAGCGAATTATTTGCTTCAGGAGTAGTGACAGGTAAAACTGGAGAAGAATCATTTTGGCCAAAGGAAGAATCTCTGGAGTCCATACAGGTTAGATGCTTTTCCAAAGAGAAAAACAAAAGTCATTTTGGCCATTGTAAAACCTATCACCTCTTTTTTTTTTTTTTCTTTTTCTATTTTTTTTTTTTAAAGTTTTGCTATAGGGTATGTGCATTTGCCAGGAAGAAACAGAGACAATGAAAATGAGAAATCATTCCCCAAGGGGATGGCCATGCTACAGTCCTTTCTCCTTCACTCTCCTCTCAGGATTTTGGCACACAAGAACATGCATCTGGCATGATTTTCAAGCTGCCAGGCCCAGCACTCGAACCACAAAGTCAGCCATATGAGATCTAGCTGCCTTAACCACTATGCCACTGGCTGGCCCAATATCATGATTTCTTCAAAATTAAAATGTGTATAATAAACATAGAAGGACAATCAGTTCTCAGTTAATCATTCATGTTACTTTTGGTAAGGGTTGTCAAATTCACAGACAGAATGTTTACGTGAAAGTGTTGACTTTCTATTATTTCTTCTAAATTTTATTAAAATGAAATTGTCCATAAGAATGCAACCTGGGGGACCAGCAGTTAGCGTAATGGCTATGTCGCTGGACTCCCATGTAGTCGACCATAGTTTGAATCCCAAACCTGGTGGCTTAAACTCACGCTAGGCGTGTGTGCATGTGTGCCCAAGATCCTGAGAGGAGAATGGAGGAGAAGGGATTGTGGCGTGGCCATTCCCCCTGGGGGGTGGCTTCTCGCTGTCTCTCTGTCTCTGTCTGTCTAGTGAGTGCACATGCCCTATCAACTAAGTTTCATTTTAAGCTCTACATTATAAAATTAAATATATGATAGGATAACTACATGCTGAAATTCTTGTTACATTAAACGTAAGTTTTTCTTTAAACATAAAAAGTTGCTAAATGGCATACTACTTTTCACAACCCTACCTCAAACGCAGGAGCATCTGTTTTTGACTCTTTGCCATCATGATGGATGACTCTTAAAGACTCGTTAGACTGTTCCATACTGGTATCATATTCAATTCCATTTTCTTCATTATTTAATAGCTGAAAAGTTTAAATATCTCATCAATTAAAGCATTTAACATTTTTACATTAATTCTTCTCCTTTTTTAACATTTTTTTTTTAATTTAGGTTTTTGCCATAGGCTGTGTGCACTCACTGGAGAGACAGAGAGAGGGAATGTGAGAAATCGCCCCCTGAGGGGGCCATGCCATAATCCCTTCTCCTCCATTCTCTTCCTTGGATTTTTTGCACCCATGCACAAATGCCTACCTTGATTTTCAAGTCACTGGATTTGGGACTTGAACTGCAGTTGGCCATGTGGGAGTCCAACACCTTAACAATCATGCCACCTGCTGGTCCCTTTTATGGAATATTTTATCTGAAGCAAATTTCTCATCTTACACACTGTGGTATCCTATATAATTTAGGTGAAATTATTTTAATTCTTTAAATAAAATTAACATTTTGTACGTTATTTCAAGTTAATCAAACAAAGAAATATGAAAAATTTAAAAAGCAGCTTAATTTTTTGTTTTGTTTTGGGGCACAAATAAATATTAAAAAGGTTCAGGTGGTGGCATGGTGGTTAAAGTGGGTCAACTGTATGCTTTGAGTCCTGGACTTGGTGGCTTGGGAAAAATATGCCAGGTGCCTGTGTACATGCTTGTGCAAATAACAGACCAAATTGAGAATAAACTTTTTTTTTTTGAAAATAAGTCAGTTTATGCCTCTCTTTAGTAAAAGGGATAATGGAGAGAGGCTCCAGTGAGCATGTGTCCGATGGCAAATCTTAAAAAAAAAAAAAAATGGACTAACTACAAAAGTAGATATTAAAAAGATGAGGTTTCATAAGCAGGTTATGCCAAAAAGACAACAAATTTGAATAAATTTCTAGAAAACCATAACTTATCAAAACAAATTCCAGAAGGAGCATAACAGCCAAATAGTCCTATACATATTATAGAAACTAAATTGAAAGTGAAATATCCTTCCTACAAAATAAACAACAAGGTGAGGCATTTTTTAAAAGAATTATTTAACCTTAGGGATCAGCAGTTACCGTAATGGCTATGTTGCTGGACTCCCATGTAGGCGACCGCGGTTTGAGTACCGGACCCCGTGGTTTAAGAGGAGAATGAAGGAGAAGGGATTGCGGTAAGGCCACCCCCGCTCCCCGGGGAGTGATTTCTTGCTTTCTGTCTCTCTGGTGAGTGCACGCGTCCTATAGCAAAAACCTCTTATAAAAAAGAATTATTTAACTTTATTCATTATTTTATTTTAAATTTTTTATTTTATTTGACCAGAGAGAGAGAGAGAGAAAATGCAAGTGAAAAGGCAACCTGCCAGGTCCGGGACTTGAACCATAGTCAGCCATGTGGGAGTCCAGCCGCCTTAACCACTATGCCACTTGCTGACCCCAAGGTGAGGCATTTTATAGTAAAGATTTTAAAAATTAAGCTTCCAACAAACAAAACGTTCACTCTTTTATAAACTCCTCTCTAGTGCAGAGAGTGATAACCCACAACTCTTTGTATGAGGATAGTATAATCTAGATACCAAAATTGATAAGGATGGTATAAGGAAGAAAATGTATAGGCCAGTTTGAAGCATTATGTTAATCATGTTTTCTGTATAGTTTTTGTAGTTGATGCCTTGATATCTAGGCGCTTGCTGACCAGGGAAAGACTGCCTCTCCCAGGATAAACCAATTCCTAGATAGCAAAAACTCTCCTGTAAAACCACCTTTCCTATGCAAACTGGCCAATCTAGAGTCCAGATCCCAACTGCATGTTTTTATGGGGGATATTCCCCTCTGAGGGGTCACCATTCCTCTAATTACCCGAGGACTAGATCTTGGACAGCTAGGGGTAGCTAATACATCCCAGACCCCATGGAAATTATTCAAACTAGTCAGTCTTAAATCTGGTTGGACTGTTTACCCTGCCCTGTCCATTTCTTCCCTTGAAAATCACAATATAGTCTCTCCTGAGGTCCACAACTCTTTATTTTTCTTTTTCTCCTTTTTTTAGTTATAGTGTGTGCAGGCTCACCAGAGAGAGAAAAAAGAGGAAGGGAAAGTGTGAAATCATCCCCCAGGGGGATGTCCACACCACAGTCCTTTCTCTTCTAGTCTCCTCTGGGGATTCTAGGCACGTACACATACACCCAGCAGGATTTTTTCTTTCTTTTTTTAATATAGAGATTTTTGCTATAGGGGATGTGCACTCACTGGAGACAGAGACAGAAAGACCAAAAGCAAGAAATCACCCCCCAGGGGGGATGGCCACACCACAATCCCTTCTCCTCCATTCTCCTCTTGGGATTTTGGGCATGAAGGCACACACACCTGGTATGAGTTTAAGCCACCAGGTCTGGGACTTGAACCATAGTTCACTACGTGGGAGTCCAGGGAGGTAACCATTACGCCATCTGCTGGTCCCACACCCAGCATGATTTTTAAGCTACCAGGCCCAGGATTCCAAATATGCACTTGGTCATGTGGAATCTAACTACCTTAATCACCACATCATCTGCTGGCCCCTAGCTGCCCTTCCCCCCCAAAACAATTGTTTATTTAATTTTATTTATTATCATCTTTAAATTTGCTACAGGGCACATGTGCTCACCAGAGACAGAGAGATAGAGACAGGGAAAGTGAGAAAGCAAGGTGCCAGGTCCAGGACTCAATCACAGTCAATCACGTGGGAGTCTAGGACCTTGATCACATATCACCTACTGGCCCCATCCCCCAACTCCGTTACTGACCTTGTTCTTTTCTGTGGGTCTGCATGGTGGGACATATTCCTCTCCTCTTAGAAAGTTTAATAAACTATGTTTTCAATGGCAATTGTCTCATGATCTGTTGGTTTCATCCTAACTGAATAGAAATAAAATCTATGTTTTAAAAGTTATAAACATATAATTACAAAAATCCTAAATAAAAGCTTTGCAAACAAAACCCAGCAATGTATAATAAGAATATAACATTGCATCATATCTAAGATACCACTGACTTTAGGTGCACATTATCATTTCTTTTTTTTTGGAGAGGTTTTCGCTATAGGGTGCGTGCGCTCGCCAGACAGACAGAGAGAGACATAGAGACAGAAAGCGAGAAATCAACCCCCAGGGGGGATGGTCACGCCGCAATCCCTTCTCCTCCATTCTCCTCTCGGGATCTTGGGCACGCACGCACACGTGCCCGGCATGAGTTTCAAGCCACCGGGTCCAGGACACGAACTGTGGTCGACTACATGGGAGTCCAGTGACATAGTCATTATGCTAACTGCTAGTTACCTGGTGCACATTATTTTATGTACCACTAAGAAAGAAAAATTATACTGATTAAAAAATGATATGTTCTTTCCTGGGACCAGCAGTTAGCGTAATGGCTATGTTGCTGGACTCTCACGTAGTCGACTGCGGTTCGCGTCCCGGACCCGGTGGCTTAAAACTCATGCTGGGCACATGTGCGTGCGTGCCCAAGATCCCGAGAGAACAGAGGAGAAGGGATTGTGACGTGGCCATTCCCCCTGGGGGATGATTTCTCACTTTCTGTCTCTCTGTCTCTCTCTGGTGAGCGCATGTGCCCTATAGCAAAAAAAAAACTCTCAAAAAAAAAAAAAGATATGTACTTTCTCATCCCTTGGAATTTCTTTTTAAGTTTTTTTTTTAATTTTATTTACTCATTCATTTATTTTTAATTTGACAGAAATAGAAAGGGGGAAGGGTGAAAACAAGCCACCAGGTCTGAGATTCGAATGATGGTCAGCCATGTGGGAGTGTCCAGCACCTTAACCACAATGAAACGTGCTGGTCCCCATCATTTGGAATTTTTAATTCATGCTCACTGAAAGAGTATTTAAATTTGAACACAGGTTTTAACCATACAAAACTCTCATACATACATAAAAAGGAAAATATATACAAAATACATATGCTAAGCTTTCCCTGAAACAACTTTGCACTTAGAATCTCGTTCTCTTTTTCTTAGGGTTTTCTTATTTTATTTTTTAGAGAGTTTTTTTCTTTTTTTGCTATAGGGTGCATGTGCTCACCAGAGAGACTCTGAGAGACAGAGTTTTACTTTATTTTGTTAGTTCTTAATCAACTTCTAACTTTTTTAGGCAGTGATAGCTCTTCCCAAAGAATTTTTTAATACATCCTTCCAATTATACTTTGAAATATGAAAATAATTCTATAAGACACCCCAAGACTCTCTGAAACTGTTTGAATTCATGGTTAATAGTGTATACTTTTTTTTTTTCATTTTGGATAGATTTTTGCTATGGGACTTGTGTGCTAGCTGGAGAGACAGGGAGAGATGGAAAGATAGAGAGACAGAAAGCGAGACATTACCCCCTACCTCCAGGGGAGATGGCCACACTGCAATGCCTTCTCCTCCATTCTCCTCTCAGGATTTTGGGCCAACATGCACATGCTCCCAGCATGAGTTTCAAGCTGCAAGTCTGGGAGTTGAATTGTGGTCAACTACATGGGAGTCCAGTGATGTTATCTCTCTATCTGCTTGACCCCCCCCCCCTTTTGTTTTCCTAGTACAGGCTAGATTGAGAAGTGGAGCCTAGGAAGGAGTTATATTAACAAAAAGTGCAAATAGCTTAAAGAAAAGAACTCTGAAAACTCACTGTGTTTCCTTTCAGGTGCCCTGATCCTACTGCAAATTATCCCTACAGGCCTACACTTTTTTTTCCATATTATTTACTTTTATTCAGTCTACCCAAAATTTCATCAGTGAAATTTTTATTGGTGTTAATAACTATTTTTACTCTTTCTTTTTAATGAATTAGTTATTCAATTTTGTTATTTTATTATTATTTTAAAATTATAATAGGACATGTGAACTCGACAGAGAGAGAGGGAGAAAGCAAGCTACCGGATTCAGGACTCAAAGTCTGGTCCACCATGTGGAAGTCCAACACCTAAACCACCATGCCACCTGCTGGCCGCAATAAGCATTTTTTTTTTTTTTTTTTTGAGAGGTTTATCTATGAGGGCGCATGAGCTCGCCAGAATGACAGAGAGAGACACAGAGACAGAAAGCAAGAAATCGCCCCCCCCAGGGGAGATGGCCATGCCGCAATCCCTTCTCCTCCATTCTCCTCTTGGGGTCTTGGGCACGCATGCACACATGCCTGGCGTGAGTTTAAGCCACCGGGTCCAGGACTCAAACTGGCAGGTTATCTGTTACGTTTTTAATTGAAAATAAAAAAAAAAAAAAAAAAAAAAAAAAAGGAACACTGGAGAGTATGAGTCATTAACCCATTTGTGTAAATTTATGTACAAACAGCTTTTCGTCATTAAGATGAGTTAAAAACAGCTACCCTGAAGGAGTAAAAAGCTTAATTTAGAGGAGGGTAAGCATGTATATTTGAGAATTTAGATGTATTCAGCAGGCCTGAGCTAGTGCTACAGTGAAGTTTGATCAAAGTATGAATGCCTAGGGAACACTATACTAAAAATGAGGTAAGGATGGTATTGACAGACAAGACTATTAAACACAAATCACGTATTTCAGAATTTGCCCAGACTGGGATTTTGACAATGGAAGAAAGATAACTTCATTTTCTACTATCTTCTGGGAATACGAAATTAAAGTATGAGCTAAATAAGCTTTTTGTAGTTACACTGGAAAAATACTTTCTACAAGGAAAAAGTTGATTTTAATTAAGATAATTTATCTAGCGCATTGTTGAAATAGAGATTAAAAATATATTTTTAATTTGCCAGAGGGTGCAGGCGCTTGCCAGAGAGACAAAAAGAGGGAGAGGGAGAAAGCACCCCCAATGGAGTGTAGCTACACTGCAATCCCTTCTCTTCCATTTCCCCACCCTGTCAGGACCCTGGGCACTAATGCACGCATTCCTGAGTGTCTACTAAGCCAGTAGGTCTCGGGAATTGAACCACATGGTTGACAATGTGGGATCCAGGTTCCTTAACTACCAGGTCAATGGGCTGGCCCCAAGTTAGAGACTTATTAAATTTCATTTTATTTCCTTCTATTTTATTTGCTAGAGGGCACATGTGTTCACCAGAGACAGAGAGAAGGCAAGTGAGAAAGCACCCCCTGTGGCAAGCATAGCACACCACAATCCCTTCTCTTCCATTTCTCCTTTTGGGATTTCGGGTACTCACGTACAAGCACTCAGCGTGTTTTATAAGCTTCTGGGTCCAGGACTTAAATCATGCAGTTAGCCAGGTAGGATCCAGGCACTTTAATCACCATGCCAAAGGCTGGCCCTATATACACCTTGTTAAAAAGAATAATTTGAATGCAGAGAGAAGAAAAGTATTTCTCCTTTCTCTTTCATTTCTTCTGTCAGTTTGTTCTATGTCCTTCAACACTGACAACTGCTAGATGACTTAAAATTTTCTCACCTGGAGAACAGCAGTTAGCGTAATGGCTATGTCGCTGGACTCCCACATAGTCGACCGTGGTTTGAGTTCCGGACCTGGTAGCTTAAACTCACGCCGGGCGCATGTGCGTGAGTGCCCAAGATCCTGAGAGGAGAATGGAGAAGGGACTGCAGCATGGCCATCCCCCCTGGGGGGTGATTTCTCGCTTTCTATCTCTCTGTCTCTGTCTGGCGAGCACATGCACCCTATAGCAAAAAAAATTTTTTTTTTTCTCATCTGTCCTCAATGTCAGTACAGGCTATAAACTATTATCCTTAACTCTCAGTTAACTCTGTCAAAGTAAAGTTTTTAAGAATGATGATAGTTTTTTTTTAAAGAAAGATTTTTGGTATAGGGTGCATGCACTTGCCAGAGAGACAGAAAGCGAGAAATCACCCCCCAGAAGGGATGGCCACACTGCAATCCCTTCTCCTCCATTCTCCTCTTGGGATCTTGGGCACGTACACACACACCAGTACCTGGTGAGTTTCAAGCCACCAGGTTTGGGATTCAAACAGCTGTAGATGACATGGGAGTCCAGCAATGTAACCATTACCATCTGCTGGTCCCAAGAATGATGATATTAATATTAAATAATTAGGTGTAAAATACTCTTTTCCAACTGGTATCCATAAATGGAACAAAGTACCTATTTACGAGGTGTCATCTGACTTTTTCATTACTATGTAATAATAACAAAGTTCTTACAAAGCTGTTACTTTCTTTTATTCTTCCATTTAATCAGGACTCTGGCAGAAGTCTCCATCTGATAGAAAGTACCACTGAACATATTGCTAAGCTTGAAGCAGAGGCTAAATGGTTTGGTAGGAATATGGGGGCGGGTGAGGGTGATGGGGGAAGTTGTTTCCTTACTAGTCTTTGCTGGGGCCCAACTTCCCTTTTTTTTTTTTGGAGAGGTTTTTGCTATAGGGCACGTGCATTCACCAGAAAGACAGAGAGAGAAAGCGAGAAATCACCCCCTCGGGGAATGGCCACGCCGTAATCCCTTCTCCATTCTCCTCTCAGGATCTTGGGCACACACACACACACGCCCAGCATGAGTTTAAGCCACTGGGTCTGGGACTCGAACCGCGGTCGACTACTTGGGAGTCCAGCGACATAGCCATTAGGCTAACTGCTGGTCCCAGGTGCTCAGCATCTTAAAACACCGAAAATTTCGCCAGGTCCTTTATCTCAGCATATTGCTCTTTGAACCTCCCCATAGCCTTTCTGTGCTCTCTGCTTCCGCTTGTTTGTTGGGTCGTTCCTTCATAAAATCCTCCTACTGAAGTAATTGCTGTTTCTCACTAGCTATTAAATGGTCATTAGGAATCTTTTTTCATTCCTGTTCCCTCTGATGGAGTCTACAAACTGAGTTATTAGCCGCTTGTAATCTCAGGAGGACTTAGTATAAATTGTCTTGCATTGTTTCTTTATATTTGGGAAGAGTATGTTCATTTGTTTCATAGATCATAGTCTTCACATTTTCAAGAACTCGCATGCCTTCAAAGCCACTTTTTTTTTTTTTCAAATTCTTTTACAAAACAATGAGTTTCGGGAACCAGCAGTTAGCGTAATGGCTATGTCGCTGGACTCCCACATAGTCGACCGCGGTTCGCATCCTGGACCCGGTGGCTTAAAACTCACGCCTGGCGCGTGTGTGTGCGAGCCCAAGATCCTGAGGGGAGAATGGAGGAGAAGGGATTGTGGCATAGCCATCCCCCTTCGGGGGTGATTTCTCTCTTTTTTTCTGTCTCTCTCTGTCTTTCTGGCGAGCGCACACATCCTATAGCAAAAACCTTTCCAAAAAACAAAAAACGAGTTTCACCCTGAATAACTCTGAATAACTGCTCTGTGATCCAAGAGCCTCGAATGAATTTCTCCGAGGTCCTTGATAATGAAGTGCGCTAAGCCTGCAGACCCCAGTGAGTCCCTCTTCTTGCCACTGCCACCTGGGGCGGCCTCACAACCCACAGGGGTTTGTGTTCCTCTGCCACCCCAAAGTTGTCACTTTCAATTAGTTATAATAAATTACCCGGGCTGGCAGGTGGTGTGGTGGTTAAAGCACTGGACTCTCACTCAGCCAATGGTGGTTCCAGTCCCAGAGCTGGCAGCTTGCTTCCTCACTTCCCCTTTCTCTCTCTCTCTGGTCAAATTAAAATAATAATAATACATAAATAATTCTTCAAAAAAATAAAATAAATTACCTTCAGGCAATGACTCAAGAGTAAATTCTAGGCCCCCAGCTTTCCACTACCTTCAGAAATGTCCTTTCTTGTCCACTGAAGTTCTTTCAGGGGCAATCAATCATGAGAGTTGTAGCTTCATTTATACACAAGTTGTTATTGTGTCTTCACAGCAGCACAGCAGCATTTTTTCTGTAATAAGAATGCATTCAATGTACATTTTATTTTCCTACACCTAAATAAAAGAACTGAAGTTCATTATGCATGCTTGATTTTAAGAGAGTCATTACCAGCTCAGCATGGCAGAACCACCAATACACTGGGTTGAAGAGAACACCAGGACTGACTTTACAGATAACTGCATGTGTCCTGAGGTTGATTACTTAATCTCTCCGTGTCTGTTTCCTTGTCTAAATTTAGGAATTTGGACTATGGTCTTGTTTCAACTCTTATTCTATAACTACTGCAGAAACAAAGATCTTGCTAGCAAATTACATTTTTTTCTCAATGAAAATAATCACTAAGGGACCAGCAGTTAGTGTAATGGCTATATTGCTGGACTCCCACGTAGTTGACCGCAGTTCATGTCCTGGACCCAGTGGCTTAAAACTCACGCTGGGCGTGTGTGCGTGCGTGCCCAAAATCCCGAGAGGAGAATGGAGAAGGGATTGCGGCGTGGCCATCCCCACTGGGGGGATGATTTCTCACTGTCTCTCTGTCCCTCTCTGTCTGTCTGGCGAGTGCACATGCCTTTAGTGAAAATCTCTCAAAAAAAAAAAAATATATCACTAAGAGGACATCTTTGGGAGCCACATTAAGCTTGAAAATAAAATAATAAAATAAAATGAATAAAAGCCCTCATCCTTACTCCCCACTCCCATTCTAAAATTAACAGGCTTATTCGGGGCCAGCAAGTGGTGTGGTGGTTGGAGGTGCTGGACTCCCACATGGCCGACCACGGTTTGAGTCCTAGACCTGGCAGTTTGCTTTCCCACTACCACCCCCCCACCTGTCAAAGCAAAAATAAAGTTAAATAAAATCATCCAAAAAAAAATAATAAACACAAAAAACCAAACAGGCTTACTTTAAAAATAAATTTGCCAGAGGGTCCATGTGCTTCATAGAAAGTGAGAAAGCACCCTCCATGGGGGATGATCACACTGAGTCCAACCTCCTCCATTTCTCCCTCCTTTTGGGAGGGAGGCACATGCATGTATATGTGCCTGGTATGCTTCTTAATTTGCCCGGTGTGGGACTCAAAACCGTACATTCAGCCATATTAGATCCTGGCCATGTAACCACAAGGCCACAAGCTGGTCCAACAAGCTTACTTCTTAAGCAAGAAGTATTGGGATTGGATAAAGTAGAAAAAGGGCCAGCAGACTGAGTGGAGTTTAAGGCAACTGGATCCCCACATGGCTGACTGTTGGACCTGGTGGCTTGAAAAACACATTGGGCATGTGTGTGTGTGTGTGTGTGTGTGTGTGTGTGTCCAAAATCCCAAGAGGAGACTAGAGGAGAAGGAATTCCTGCATGGCCATCCCTATCAGGATGCTTTCTCACTTTCCCTTTCTCTCTGTCTCTGGCAAGCCCAAGCACCCCGTAGCAGAACATTATAAAAATAAAAAATAAATAAAAACAACACTTAAAAAAAAAAAGGCAAGAAAGAAAAAAGCAGAAAGAAAAAGCAAAATGCAAAGTATTAAATACGGAGTCCAAGGGTCAAAATGGCAAGCAGGCCTGCGGCTGCATCAGTTTGGTGCTGGATGGTATGCGAAAGTAGTATTACAATGCTGCAGGATTCAATAAACTGGGGTTAATGTGAGATGATACAATATATGAGAATGAAGATGTAAAAACTCATAAGAAGACTTCCTGAGAGCCTTTATAATGCCAAGATGTTTTACATTAAGAGAGCCCTGAAACAAAAAAAAGAGAGAGCCCTGGACCTGACCATGAGGTGGCAGATCTTGCCTAAAGAGCAATGGATAAAGTATGAGGGAAGTAATTTATACCTTGAACCATATCTGAAAGAGGTTATTCTGGAAAGAAAAGAGAGAATAGTAGACAAACAAGTAATGAAGTTGAAATTGTGGATACAGTTGTCCTTATAGTATTTTTATGAAGTTGGTTGAGCCTGAAACATATAACTTAAACATTATTTGGTCTGTAGAAGTATTACTTTAAATAAATGTCTACTGTAATCATAAACAATAAATAAAAAATAAGGAGTCTAGACAATAATGATTGGACTTCAGAAATAAACTAAGATAAAGCCAGGTTAATAGCCCTGTGCTTAAGGAAGCTGGATCCCATATGGCCCACCATAATCTGAATCAATGGCCTCAGTAACCTGAAAAACATACCCAGCACATATGTATACATGCCACAAATGCCAAAAGGATGGAGAAATGGAGAAGGGATTGCAGTGTGACCATGCCCAACTGGACTGTGTACTTTCTCCCTCTCTCTTCAAATTGTGCTTGCAAATTCCTTTCTGAATGCTTCAGATCAAATTTTAAAAGTGGATTTTATCTGGGTCCAGCAGGTGGTGGAGTGGTTAAGGCACTGGACTCCCATGTAGTCGACTATGGTTTCAGTCTTCGACCCAGCAGCTTGAAACTCACACCACGTGTGCATGCATGCCCAAAATCCTAAGAGGAGAATGGAGAAGGGATTGCAGCGTGGCCATCCTCCCTGGGGCATGATTTCTTGCTTTCCCTCTCTCTGTCTTTCTGGCTAGCACATGCACCCTATAACAAAAATCTCTAAATAAAATAAAAAAATAATAAACAGAAAAGTGGATTTTATCTTACATCAAAAGCAAAGATTTAGCAGAAACTATGAAATTAGTAGTCTAGTGTTTTTATTTACAGGGAGGAAGAGTTTGGTTTTTTTTTAATCATTACACATAGCGAATGCATGACAGAGGGGAGGAGCCTATTCAGGCTGCAGTCACTCACTTCTCTATAATGGATAACATCTGAGCTACTGCTGCTTTGACCTTTTTAAACAACAATTCTATTCAAATTTTAGAGATAATTTTTAAAAAATTATTATTGTAATTTCTGATTTACATATAAAATGGTTGTACATCTTTGTTTTGTTTTTGTTTTTTTGTTTTGCTATAAGGAGCATGCACTCACCGGAGACGTAGATAGATAAAGTGAGAAATCACTATGGCCACGCTGCTTGTTTTCCATTTTTCTCTCAGGATTTTGGATACATACATGCTTCCAGCATGATTTTCAAACTACCAGGTCCAGGACTCAAACCAGGGAGTTGGCTATGTAGGACTCTGTGTCTTAACCTCTACGCCACCTGCAAGCCCACTGTGTGATTTTTTAAAAAAGCATATATACATCTCAGTTGTACCTTTTTTTTTTTTTTAAGAGAGAGTTCTGCTATAGACTGTGTGCACTCACTCTACAGTGCAGTGACAGAGAGAAAGCAAGAAATCACCACACCACAACCTCTTCTCCTCCATTCTCCTCTCGAGATTTTAGGCAGGCACGCACACACAACCAGTATAAGCTTCAAGTCGCCAGGTCCAAAACTCAAACTGCAGTCTACTACGTGGGAGTTCAGTGATATAACCATTACACCATCTGCTGGCCCCCCTCAGTTGTCGTTTCTAAAAAACTATCTTAACATCTGATTATGTTAAGCTTACCCAAAGATTTCTGTGTATTAAAATTTATCCTTTAAGGGACCGGCAAACTGTAGTCGGCCCTGTGGGAGTCCAGCTCCTTAACCACCACATCACTTACTGGCTCCAGGGTCTGGGACTTGAACCACACTGATGGTCGGTCATGTGGGATCCAGTCACCTTAATCACCATGCCACCATCTAGCCTCTTCCTTTCTTTCTTTCTTTCTTTCTTAAGGTTTGCCATAGAACGAATGAGTAGCCTTTTTCTTTCTTTCTTTCTTTCTTAAGGTTTTTGCCGTAGGACAAGTAAGCTCACAGAGACAATGAGAGAGAAACTGAGAAATCACCTCCCCAGGGGGATGGCCATGCTGCAATTCCTTCTTCTCCATTCTCCTCTCGGGATCTTGGGCATGTGCACATATGCACCCAGGACATGAACCGCAGTCAGCCATGTGGGAGTTTAGCACATTAACCACCTATTTGCTCCTAACTGGCCTTCTTTTCTCTTTTTAAAGATTTGTCCTCCTTGGGCCAGCAGACTGTTTAACGGTTATGTCACTGGACTCCTACATAGTCAACTGTGTGTTAAGTCCTGGACACAGGGTTTGAAATTCATACCAGGGTGTGTGTGTGCGAGCATGCCAAAGATTCTGAGATGAGAAGGGACTGCAGCATGGTCATCACCCTGCGGGGGGGTGGGGGGGGAAGAAGGGTGATTTCTTGCTTTCTGTCTTTCAATCTCAGTCTCTCTCTCCAGTGAGGGCACACGTCCTATAGCAAAAATCTCTCTAAAAAGGAAAAAAAAAAATTGCCCATGACATACCAGGTCTTCAGCTTGTAACAGGATCCTGGCCCTCCCATGCACTCTTGGCCTGTGGAGACAGTGTCTTAGCAGCATGCAACAGTGGCTGAGCCCCACTTTGCTCTGAGATCTTTATAGACTATTTCATTTAACCCTTATAATGGTTCTGAAGGAGAGCTTATTGTTTTTTCATAATTAGAAAAATGAAGCTATCAAGTGAACAGCTTAAGATCACAAATAATATTAGCTTCAGATTCAAAACTAAATAGAAAATGGCCACAAAAAAAATTAGGACTCCAAAACCCATACATAGTCTTTGTACCGTCCATGCTATGCCATTATATATAGAAAAAGACACTATAATAATCACAAATATATTTTCCAGGTTATGTTTCTCCAGATAACAATATATCTTTATAAGGACCGTAGAAAAAAGATCCTGCAGGAAATGATTAAGAACTAAAAGCTTGCCGTTAACATTCTAGTTACACTTATGAAAAACACTCAGTAAAAGCATTATTAGCTCTCCTAAATTTTTTTTTGGAGGCAACACCAAACGTGACACAAGTCACAGTTGGAAAGAAACCAAAAACATATTGGGTATTTAATTATTCTGGAATATTAATTTTTCCCTAAGTGAAAAATGTGTTTTAGTGAATTCAAGATTCCTGCTTAGCAAATTGAAAGCCTTATTTTATTGGACATATATTCAGCTTTGGAATCTTTTTTTCAAATGAAGATGAACTATATTGACCCTATTGGGTATTATATATTCTTAAATTCCAAATTTAGGATCTTTTAAATTAATGACTGCTTAAAATGTCAACCTGATTAGCTACACATTTTATTATTTTAATTTTAATTTTTTAGTTTTTTTTTTTAGAGAGAGAGATTTTCACTATATGGTGTGTGTACTCACAGGGAGACAGAGTGAGAGATCATCCCCCAGGGGGATGGCCACACCACAATCCCTTCTCCATTCTCCACTTGGGATTTTGGGCACATGCACACACATGCAGCCAGTGTGAGTTTCAAGCTGCCAGGTCCAGAACTCCAACTGCAGTCAGCCATGTGGGAGTCCAGCACCTTAACCATTACACCATCTGTAGGCCCAACTACAAATTTTTGAGATATTCTGACCTATGATGTAGCATCATACATATGAATGCAAAAGCAAGACTTCAATGAAGAAAGTGTTTCAAGTTTCAGGTGCCCAAGGTATTCAGTGTATTACTTCTCACCATTACACTGAATCACACTGTTAAATGGCCACAGTTTCTATTAGCAAGCCCAGTAGTAACATGTGATTTCCTGGGACTTTAGCATCCAGCTGTGTTTTCTTTTTTTTTTTTTTCCATTTTATTACTCTATGGATATGGCTATTTCTCCCTAATTTGTTCCCATTGGCTTCTAGCTAAACTTGAATTGGTAACTCCTACGATGGTAATAATAATTACCACTTACTGAGTGCTTCCTATGTGGAAGTCTTGCAGTTGACCGTGTATCATGAAGAGGTTAACTGAATAGCAGAGGAAGTATTGGAACCCAGACATTCTGGTTTCAAGGCCTGCCTTCTATAAAGTTGAATAAATTGAAAACAGTCCTTGTTTTATTGTCAGAGCTCTCTAAAAAAAGACTAATTCTTTCTACTGCCAACCATTTAAATCTTTTCTGTAGCTGATCTGAATATCAGGCGTCTACGAAACCCTCATACATCTTTAAGGAACGAAAACAAAGAGCAAAGCTGTAGTGTCTTCACCTGCCCACATACCGCTGTGCCCACACACTTGGCAATGTAGTTCTGCCTGACTCTAAATTATTGCTAACTCCTGAATTCCTCCTTTTGGAACTGTTCTGGCGAACGCTGGAAAAGGTGATTTTGGGAGCTGGAGAGTATCCCCACACACACCCATTTTCTCGGAATAACAACTATAATGAAGTATTAGACTAATTCTCGGGACCACTGAGATCAAGACAAGACTCTGGGTAACTTCAAGACCAAAAAAGAAAAGTTAAAAAAAAAAAAAATCAGGGATTCAAGGATGTTTTTATACTGCTCTAAAACTAAGGTCTTGAAAGGCTCAGGAAGGGGGAGAAGACCCTACGGCGCAGGGCAGCGCGGGGGACCACACCGGGCGCTCCCCGCCCAGGGCTGCGGGTGCTCCTCAGCGGCGGCGGGGCGTCCTCGGGCGCAGCAGCCCTCAAAACACCTCAACGGCACCTCCTCCTGCTGCCTGCCTCCCCCGAGCCCACGAGCCCCATGCCGGGCCGGGAGTACTAGGCCACGCCATGTGGGGTCCCCAAAGACGCCCACAGGCGGGGTGGCAGAGGGAGCCGTCAGTGCCGGGCTGCAGCGGAGACCGCGGGCGGCGGTTGCTACGAGCCCGGCCGGGTCAGGAGGGGACGCGAGGAGGCGGCGGGAGGAAGAAAGGGGGGTTGGAGGGTAGCGTCAGGCCCGGCGGCGCAGACAGCTCTGCCAAACCTCCGCCTCCCCCAGCCCTGCCGCCGCCGAGAGCCCCACCGGGCGAGGAGGGAAGTCCGCCGGAGCAGAGGGGAGAATATTCAAAACGAGTCTACTCAACCTCGTCTTGGCTCCGAGGCCCCGCCATGGAGACCAGCACAATGCGCAGGCGCGCCTGTCCGGGAGCGCGCGGCGCAGACCCGCGAGTTAGGACCACGATCGGCCACCGTCGTGCTTTTCCTTTCTGATTCGCTCTTTCTATCGTGTTTCCGCCGGGGTCGGATCTGAAACCGGAAGCTAGCGGCTAGAGTACATTTCCAATATCGGCCGAGTAAGTGTGTGGCAGCAGATATGCATGAGAAAAGTACGGGGCAGGCTTTAGTCAATCAGAACCGAAGATAGAGAAAATTTAATAGGTAACCGGCTGGAGTCAGGGCTTTAAAACAAGTCAGATATTCTTGAGGGCAATGTGGCAATAAAGACTACAATTCCCAGTTGTCACAACGTCTGAGACGCGCTGCTTCGTGGGAGTTGTAGTATCTATAAACTGCGTTTAAAGTATCCACCCAAGGATAGCTTTTTTTCCTTCTTAAATAATTAAATTGGGTATTTCTCTATCTTCCTTATAGGGCCCTAAATGTTTGGCATGAACTCCAACAAAGAGTAAAGGGACACGCTGCCTTTAAGACTCTGCTTTACTGATCGATGATCCCTAAATCTGGGAATAGGTATTTGACTTTGTGGGCAGGGCCTCTGCGGAAGGGCAACCTCGTGGTGTCGCCGGGTTTGGATCACAGCATCTCGTCTACCTGTGCAGTCTGATTTTGAGCGACCTCTTCTTGTAGTCCGACAGGGCAAGAGCTCCTGTTTTCTGACTACTAGTACGTACGTTTCTTCGGGCAAATCTTGTGTATACTCCCCCACCATGGCTCAGCTCCAGACACGCTTCTACACTGAGAACAAGAAGTAAGTACAGCGTCTCCCACTCTTGAATCTCCTCCCTAGGATCCTTTCCCTCGATCCCTTCTGTATGACCTTGTGAATCCCTGGTTGTCTTTACCTTTGCACTTCCCACCCCTTTATTTATTTCGTTGGACTCCTCGCTTGTGCCGTTCTTCACTGACGTTGCAAAGAGTGCCTTGGAAGGATTTCACAGGGACCTTCTTAGTAGTCCCCCGAGATCATCTCTTTTCTTGCCCAGCTGCGTGGACTCTGTTTAATCATTTGATATGTGAATGTGGATGGGACTGAAGGGCTTCAGGTTCACTCTCTGAATGAAGCCTACTTCTGTGCGTAACTTAATGAACAATGGGCCATGTCATTACAGGCTGTCTGCTAGTGGTGATTCAAAGTTTAAGTAGGTGATAGGAAATGCTTTTGTGATTAGGGAGTTGGTAGAACTGGTTTTTGATAAGAGAGTCTGAACTCAATTCAGTTATAGATTTGAGAATAATATACACATGTACATAAAATATAGTATGTAATTGAAGTATAATGTATTTATACACCTAAGCTATGTATTTATTTATATGTAGACGTATTTGTCGATGATGTATGTGTGTGTATATTATGTATAGAAAAACAGTAGTGCCAAGCTATAGTATCACCACATTCCTTGAACAATATTAAATTAGTTGGGACCAGCAGTTGGTGTAATGGCTATGTCGTTAGACTCCCATGTAGTTGGCCACGGTTTGAGTCCTGGACCCAGTGGCTTACACTCACACTGGGCACATATGTGTGCATGCCCGCCCAAGATCCCCAGAAGAGAATGAAGGAGAAGGGATTGGGTTGTGACCATCCCCTCTGGGGGGTGATTTCTCGCTTTCTGTCTCTCTGTCTCTATCTTTCTGATGAGCCCACACGCCCTATAGCAAAAACCTCTACAAAAAAAAAATTAATTAAGCAAATAAGTATAGATACACATCTTAGTAGTTTCATATGTATTAGCATTATGTATAAACATTTTTACCAATGGTTCCTAGCTCTGTGACATTTCATTGAAACCTAATTATAGGCTGTTTTGTGGTGTACATTGTACTGTTAAATTTTCTTTCTGTTTGCCTGGTTTCTTCAGTTATAATATAGTTTAAGTTCATTGAAGACAGGAACTATGTATGAAGCTTCTTGGATTGACTGAGTCAACCATGTCAAATTTTTCTGGTGCTAATCGTAAATAATAAATATTTGGTCATTGGGAAAGTCATGATGCATTTTTGCATAGAGAAGCATAGAAAAATGTGTCATGAGTTTCCCTCCAACCTAATATTTTGTTGTATTGGGGGCCAGCAGGTTTGGTGGTGGTTAAGGCTGTGGACTCCCACATGGCTGACCATCGTTCAAGTCCTGGATCCAGTGGCTTGAAACTCACACCAGGCACATGTGTGTGCATGCCCCAAATCCCGAGAGAATAGAAGAGAAGAGATTGTGGTGTGGCTATCCCCTGGGGTGTGTATGGGGGGTGGGGGTGATTTCTCACTTTCTCACATTTTCTGTCATTGTCTCCAGTGAATGCACTCACCCTATAGCAAAAATCTCTCTCTCTCAGAAAAAAAAAAAAAGAAATTAGCTAGACCTTATAAATCATAGTCATTCCTCATTTGTTATTGCTTACAGTGTATGTAAATTGTATAATCAGTGTACATCAGTCTACAGTCATGCATCACTTAAAGACCAGAATATGTTCCAAGTTTTGTGGTGTTCTACGAAATGTGTCTTTAGGCCATTTTGCCTTTGTGTGAACACAGCAGACTGTAATCCACAAACTTAGATGGTATAGTTTACTACACCCAAAGGCTATGCATAGAGAGTAGAGTGTATGTTTCTTATGGGACCATTGTGGAATATGAAGTCTGTTGTTGACTGAAGTGTTCTTATGAGGTGTATAATAGTATACTTCTTTGCTTAGTCTAATGCTTCTCAAGGAATGTGGTGATGCAATAAGATAAACATTTAAAAAAATTTTTTTCTGTAGAGGTTTGTTTTTTTTTTTTTTTTTTTTACTTTGGGGGGCTACACTCTCCAGAGAGACAGAGAAAGACAGAGAGACAGAAAGCAAGAAATCACTCCCCAGGGGAGATGGCCATGCTGCAGTCCCTTCTTCTCCATTCTCCTCTCGGGATCACATGCACACACACGTGCCCAGTATGAGTTTAAGCCACTGGGTCCAGGACATGAACTGCGGTCAACTACATGGGAGTTCTGCAACATAGCCATTATGCCAACTACAGGTCCCCCCAGATTTTTTTCTAAGATGCAGTCTGGCCATGTCACTGTTCTCTTGCCTCAGTCTTCCGGCCAGGATTACAGGTGCCCACTGCCAGGCCTTTTTTCAGACGGGATCTTGCCATGTTCCCCAGGCCACCCTGAGGTAGGAATCCTCCTCTCCACAGCTCCCCAAATCACTGAGATTACAGGCCCATGCCACCATGCCCAACATTTAGGTTTTGCAGGGAATCTAACCCTGGCTTCTTGTGTAGTGCTGCCTGGAAACTCAGTGTCTTAGCTGCGTGCCACTGTAGCTAGGCCACCACTGTATTTTTTTTCACTGAAATTTTGTAGAGACACTTGTTGATTCATATGAAATTATAAGAAATAAGAGCAATTAATTTTAATCCCTAAAATAAATTGATAACAGTTGTGTATGTTTGTATATATGTGTGCATGTTTGTATTTAGGTTCTTCAAAGGTAACAAAACTTAAGAGTTAAAATATTCCTCTTTCTTTTAAATAATATGTTTTTGTTGTTGTTGTTTTTTCTTTTTTGGAGAGGCTTTTTTTTTTTAAGCTATAGGGCGCATGCACTCTCCGGAAAGACAGACAGAGAGACAGAAAGCAAGAAGTCACCCTCCAGTGGGGATGGCCACGCCACAATCTCTTCTCTTCCATTCTCCTCTCAGGATCTTGGGCACACACACACACCTGTCCGACTTGAGTTTAAGCCACTGGGTCCGCGACTTGAACCACGGTCGACTACATGGGAGTCCAGCGACATAGCCATTACACTAACGGCTGGTTCCTTAAATAATGTTTTGATCAGTCAAATGAGGGAGAAAAGTCATACATATATATGTGTGTAATTCATATATATACCTTTATTCAGGTGTGTGAGGGATAATTATGCAATGCTCCCCCTCACATTTTACTGACCACATTATTAAGTAAAATGAAGAAACAATTTTTTTTTTTTTTTTTTTTAGATTTTTGCCATAGCATATAAGCACTTCCTGAAGAGAAAGGGAAACTGAGAAATCACCCCCTGGGGGGGTGGGGATGACCACACCAAATTCCCTTCTCCATTCTCGTCTCAGGATTTTGGGCACACACACACACACCTGGTGTCATTTCAAGCTGCTAGATCTGGCACTCGAACCTCAGAGTCAGCCATGTGGGATCCAGTGTCTCAACCACTCTGCCACCTGCTGGCCTGAGAAACAAAACTTAATTCCTAGGTTTAGTAACCTTTTGGAAAACCTAAAATAACTGCTTTTTTGACATGATATAGTTATGGCTTTAATACTTAAACTGTAGTTTGACTACCAGCAGCATCATATTTGCATAGCTGTACAACCATCACCACAATCCATTTCAGAACATTTTTTCATTGTCCTTTAGCTATCATCCCCCTCCCCCCCACACACACTTTTAGGTACACTGACTCTAATCAACCACTTACCTACTTTCTATTTCTGTAGATTTGTTTATTCTGGACATTTTGTATAGATGCAGTTATCTAACGTGGTCTTTTGTTACTGGTTTTAGCATAATGTTTTCATGGTTCATCCATGCTATAGTCTGTATTAATACTTCATTTCTTCTATGGCCAAATAATATTGCATTGGGTATGCTGTATCGTTCCACTCATCAGCAAATTAATATTCAGGTTATTTACTTTTAGCCATTATGAGTGGTTCTTTGAACATTCACACACAAGTTTTTGTGTAAATGTAAGTTTTCATTTATCTTGGGTATGTATTTAGAAGTGGCGTTCCTAGGTCGGATGGTCATTTCATGTATACCTTTTTGAGGAAATGCTGGACTGTTGTTCTTGTTCTTTTTAATTTTCCAGAGGATCCATTCTCTTGCCAGAGAGAAATGAGACAGAGAAAAAGTGAAAAAGCAGTTCTTGTGGAAAACAGTCATGCCTTAATCCTTTCTCTTCCATCTCCGCACTACTTTTGGGATTTTGGACGTACATGCACGTACACCTGGCATATTTTTCAAGCCACCAGAACCAGCGCTTGAGCTGCAGTCAGTCATGTGGGATCCAGCCACCTTAACTAGTGTACCACTGGCTGACTCACTGCCAGACTGTTTACTGAAGCAACTGCATCATTTAACGTTGCCACCTGTATTGGATGAGTGTTCCAATTTCTATGTATCTTCACAATTACTCCCATCTTTTTTTTTTTTTTTTTTTGAGAGGATTTTGCTATAGGGCGTGTGCGCTCGCCAGATAGAAAGAGAGAAATCACCCCCCCACCCCCCCGGGGGATGGCCACACGGCAATCCCTTCTCCATTTTCCTCCCTGGATCTTGGGCACACACGCACACATGCCCGCTGTGTTTTAAGCCGCCAGGTCCAGGACGTGAACCGCAGTCAACTACATGGGAGTCCAGTGACATAGCCATTACACTAACTGCTGGTCCCACTCCCGTCTTTTTTATTATACCCTCCTTAGAGGGTGTAAGGTGATATTTCATTGTGATTTGTTTTTCATTTCCCTGATGACTAATGATAGCTAATGATAGGCATCTTTTTATATGTCTATCAGTCATTTCTATATCTTCTCTGGAGAACTATCTATTTAGATCCTTTGCCTATAAAATTTCATTATCCTTTTTTTGGGGTGGGGGGTGGGGAGAGGTTTTTGGTATAGGGTGTGTACGTTTGCCAGAAAGACACAGAGAAACAGAAGCAAGAAATCACCCCACAAGGGAGATAGCCATGCCACAATCCCTTCTCCTCTTGGGATCTTGGGCACACATGCACACGCACCCAGCATGAGTTTAAGCCACTGAGGCCAGGACTCAATCCGCAGTTGACTTCATGGGAGTCTAGCAACATAGCCATTAGGCCAACTGCTGGCCCCCAAAATTGATTATCTTTTATTATTGCATTATGCATGCTCTTTATATTTTCTGGATACAAACTCATTTTAACATATGTAATTTGTACACATTTTTCTCAGCTTTTTTTAGAAGAATTATTTATTTAATTTCATTTTATTTTAATTTGATCAGAGGGGGGGGTTGGTGTGTGTGTGTGAGAAAGCAACCCACCCAGGTTGGGGACTTGAAACATGGTTGGCCATATGGGAGTGCCCAGCACCTTAACCACCATGCCACCTGCTGGTCCCTCAGTTTCTCTTTTATGAGTCTCTTAACCTACCTCCTATCATGTATTTTTCTAATCCAGTTTCCATTTTATATCCAGAAAGATCTAATTAAACAAAATTCTGATGATATTATTCCTTACCTTGGACTGCTACTGTGGTTCCTTTTGTCTCAGAAAAAAAGTAAAACTAACTCTTTTGCCTAGAGTAAGATCATAGTTTCTGGAATAAGCTGAGTGGACATTTTAAAAACTTTCAGCTGTGTTTTTTCTGTTCTTCCTGCTTTCCTATACCCCTTTTTCTTGCCTGCCTCTCCATAACCTGGTAAAGATAACTTAAAAAAATATCTTTAAGGGGCCAGCAGTTAGCATAATGGCTATGTCTTTGCACTCTCATGTAGCTGTGGTTCATGTCCTGGACCTGGTGGCTTAAACTCATACCGGGTGCCTGTGTGTGAGTGCCCAAGATCTCAAGAGGAAAATGGAGGCGAAGGATTGCGGTGTGGTCATCCCCCCCCCGGGGGGGGTGATTTCTCGCTTTCTGTCTCTCTGTCTCTCTCTGTCTTCCTGGCGAGCACACGCGCCCTATAGCTAAAACCTCTCCAAAAAAAAAAGCTAAAAGATACAACTTTAAAAATGATCTCTTTTTGTGCATCTTTTTTTTTAATGCATCTTTTCAAACCTTACTCCCCAACCCTCCTTTTTCTGGTTGAAATTGCCTATTGCTTCTTTGTTCTTTTATATATACACTAATGACATTATTATTTTAATTCAGTATTTTTAAAAAGATTTATTTATTATTTATTTTATTTATTTTAGTTTGACCAGAGAGAGAGAGTGAAAGTGAGGAAGCAAACCACCAGGCCCGGGATTCAAACCGTGGTCAGCCATGTGGGAGTGTCCAGCATTTTAGCCACCACGCCACCCCCTGGTCCCGACGTAATTTTTTTGATATACATTCAATCACTCTATATTGTTACAGCTTACAAAACAAATTTTCCCACTGTGAATACACTATATATTAGTCTAGTTAAATATATTCTCATATACATTATCAACAGATAATTTTCCAGTTTTGTGTTCCTTAAATGTTTTGCTTCTTTCTTTTTCCCCTTGATTCCCTTTCTCACCATCTCCCATTTCCCACCCTCTTCCCACACTGTCTCTAGTACCTGCAATTGTTTTTCATGCCTTTATGTCTTCTTTGAGTTTCTACATTAGAGTACAGACATTTGGTATAAAATGGGGACATACAATGCCTCTCTTTCATAGTCTGGCTTGCTTTGCTTAGCAGTAAATCTTCTATATTTGTCCACTTTCTATCAAATGCCAGGATCTGATTTTTTAATAGATAAATGGTACTCCATAGCATATATGTGCCACACTTTTTTAATCCATTCATTTGTTCATGGACGTTTGGGTTGGCTCCATGTTTTAGCAATTGTGAATAATGCCATAAACATAGATGTGCAAGTACTTTTCCAACAGAGTGTATTCCTATCCTTTGGATAGATACTCAGGCGTGGAATTCCTGGATCAAATGGTAGTTCTATTTGTAGGTCTTTGAGGAACCTCCATATTGTTCTCCACAGTGGCTGTACTAATTTACATTCCTACCAACAGTGTATGAACATTCCCTTTTCACCACAGCCTCACCAGCGCTTCCCATTTTTTTTCTTATAATTATTTATTTCATTTTATTTAGTCATTCATGTGTTTTGATTTGACCAGAGAGAGACACTCACAGAGAAGAGAGAGGGAAAGTGAGAAAGCAAGCCACCAGGTCTGGGACCTGAACCATGGTTGGCCATGTGGGAGTGTCCAGTGCCTTAACCACCATACCACCTGTTGGCCCCCCATTTTTAATTTTTTTTAATCTTAGCCATTCTGACTAGGGTTAGGACGACATTGTTCTTACAAAACTTCACTGTGTTTGATTACTAGACAGTAAACCAAGGCCATGATTTAATTCATTTTAACTTACTTCATGCAAAATGTCTGGCGTGTAATAGGTACCCAATATATATTTGTTGAATAAATCAATAAGCATTTATTAAATATCTGCAGACTTGATCATGATGTATCATTTCCTTTTTACAGATATGCTGTTGAAGATGTTCCCTTCTCAATCCCTGCCACCTCTGAAATTGCCGACCTTAGTAACATAATCAACAAACTGCTACAGGCCAAAAATGGTGGGTATATGTGGTCTGAAATGTTAGGAGAGAATATAGTGCCACTCACTATACTAAAATGCATTATTTTTTTTGCCTTATTTTATAATACTGGTGAATTTTGTAATGATAAAATTTATAAATAATAGCTTACAGGCTTTCCTGGTGGATAATACTTCGGAAGAAAAATTTTTAGAAAAAATCATTTCTGTTTAATCTGCTTTTAAGGCAATACGGAGATAAGGTGGCTGTAATTTAGGAACAGATTTTAGTGTAATAGTTATGATTTGAAGGTGATCAAGACATTGTGATTGTGCTATGGAGAAATGGAGAATGTGAGCATAAAAGTATGGTGCATAGGCCTCACTGGCTAGTGAAACACAAAAATGAAATTATAATATCAGTGTTTGAGCATTTATTTCATATAATAGTAGAATGTCAAAATTAATACTGGTATTTTACTTTCTGTGTTCAGAATTTATTTAAAAAATTAGATGTGGGAACCAGCAGTTAGCGTAATGGCTATGTCGCTGGACTCCCATGTAGTCGACCGCAGTTCGTGTCCCGGACCTGGTGGCTTAAAACTCACGCCGGGCGCGTGTGCGTGCATGCCCAAGATCCCGAGAGGAGAATGGAGGAGAAGGGATTGCGGCGTGACCATCCCCCCTGGGGGGTGATTTCTTGCTTTCTGTCTCTATGTCTCTCTCTGTCTGTCTGGCGAGTGCACGCGCCCTACAGTGAAAAAAAAAAATCTCTCAAAAAAAAAAAAATTAGATGTAACAAAAATTTGTAAATACCCAAGCATATCAAGTAAAACATTTATAAAGATATAAATTTCAAACACTAGCTATTAAACTCATGAATTATTTGCCCAGTAAGTTATTATGAACATGTATGTAAAACTATAGATGAAATAAGGTTGATCATGACTTGTTGTTAATAGCTGAAGTTGGATGATAGTTATATGGAGGTTTATTGGTTCTTTATTCTCCACTTTAACATATGTTTGACATTTTCTACAAGAAAGTTCTTTATAAAAGTAATGAGGTATTACATAAAATAGAGGAAATTTAAACATGAAGAATTGAGAATAACTATGATTTTTCTTTTTTTTTTCTTAAGAATTATTTAATTCCATTTGTTATCATTTCTTAATTTGACTAGAGAAAGACTGAGAGAGAGAGAAAGGGAAAGCAGGAAAGCAAGCCTCCAAGTCTGGGACTAGAACTGCAGTCAACCATGTGGAATCCAACACTTCAACCACCATGCTACCTACTGGCCCCTGATTTTTTTCTTTCTTTTGAGAGAGGTTTATGCTGTAGTGTTTATGCGTTTGCCAGAGGGACAGATAGAGGCAGAGAAAGAGAGAACAAGAAATCATCCCCCAGGAGGGATGGCCACACTGCAATCCCTTCTCCATTCTTCCTTCAGGATTTTGGGCATGCATACATACACACCCACCCAGAATGACCTTCAAGCTACCAGATCCAGGACTTGAACTGTGGTCAGCCATGTGGAAGTCCACGGCATTAATCACTATGCCACATGCCAGCCCTTATAACTGATTTCTTTTTTAAAGCAAAAGTTGGGGGCTGGCAGGTGGCATGGTAGGTAAGAGAACTAGACTCCCACATGGCCAACCATGGTTCGATTCCCGCCTGGACCTGGCAGCTTGCTTTCTCAGTTCTCTCTCTCTCTTTCTCTCTCTTGCTTTCACTCTGGCTCTCTCTGGTCAAATTAAAATGAATAAATAGGGACCAGCAGTTGGTGTAATGGCTATGTCTCTGGAGTCTCATGTAATTGACCGCAGTTCGAGTCCTGGACCCGGTGGCTTAAACTCACACCAGGCACTTGTGCATCGTGCCCAAGATCCCAAGAGGAGAATGGAGGAGAAGGGATTGGGACATGGCAACCCCCCTAGGGGACAATTTCTCGCTTTCTGTCTTTCTGGTGAGCATGTGCTCTATAGCAAAAACCAACCCCCCTTAACAAAAAAGAAAAATAAATAAATGAAGTTAAACAAAATAATTCTTTAAAAACAAAAACAAAAGTTGGGGCCAGCAGATAGTGTAGTGGGTAAGACTCTGAGTTCCCATATGACTGATCATGGTTTTTGAGTCTTGACTCTGCCAGCTTGCTTTCTCTCTCTCTCTCTCTCTTTGGTGAGGCACATGCACTATAGCAAAATTTAAAAATAATGATAATGATAAATAAAATTAAATAAGTAGTTATTTCAACCAAAAGAAGAGCAAATCTTGTCAATGAAGTCACCATTGAAAAGTATAAAAATATACCAGGCGGGACCAGCAGTTAGCGTAATGACTATGTTGCTGGACTCCCACATAGTCAACCGCGGTTCATGTCCCGGACCCGGTGGTTTAAAACTCACGCCGGGCGCGTGTGTATGCGTGCCCAAGATCCCGAGAGGAGAATGGAGGAGAAGAGACTGCGGCATGGCCATCCCCCAGGGGGGTGATTTCTCGCTTTCTGTCTCTCTGTCTCTCTCTGTCTGGCGAATGTACACGCCCTATAGCAAAAACCTCTAAAAGAAATATATTAATAATAACACCAGGCAAATATTTTTCTATGCAGATTTGAAAGCTCTTTGTACTCCACCCTAGTTGGACAAATGGGGAGGTGAGAGTTATAAACTAATACTTAATATTTTTATCTTATTACTCAAGTAATTCCATAACTTTTTTGTTAAGTTTGAGATATTTTCTTTCTTTTTAAGAGATTTTTGCTATAGGGCATGTGCACTTGCCAGAGAGAGAGAAAGACAAAGAGACAGAAAGCGAGAAATTACCCCCCAAAGGAGTGGCCACACTTCAATCCCTTTGCCTCCATTCTCTGGAGATCTTGGGCGTGCACGCAGAGTGAGTTTAAGTCCCCAGTTCTGGAACTCAAACTGCAGTTGACTATAAGGGAGTCCAGTGACGTAACCATTATGCCATCTGCTGGTCTCAAGAATGAATTTGAAGAGACCAGCAGTTAGCGTAATGGCTATGTCGCTGAACTCCCATGTAGTGGACCGTGGTTTGAGTCCCGGACCCGGTAGCTTAAATGCATGCATGTGTGTGCGTGCCCAAGATCCTGAGAGGAGAATGGAGGAGAAGGGATTGCAGTGTGGCCATCCCCCCTGGGGGGTGATTTCTTGCTTTCTATCTCTCTGTCTCTCTGTCTTTCTGGCGATCACACATGCCCTATGACAAAAAATACTCTCAAAAAAAAAAAAGAAAAGAATGAATGTGAACAACTTTTTGAGGGTGAGTGGACAATCTACAGATTTCTTATTGCTAGCTAACTGCAGTGCTTGATTCAGAGAGATTTACGTAGTACTTCTGTTGGTTCAGTTTCATCGTGAATGTGTATAGATTCTGTTGTATAGTTACCTTTTTAAATTTCAGAACACCTATAGCAAAAACCTCTCCAAAAAAAAAAAAATCAGAACTGTTATATAGTCTACTTATTGAAAAAGTATGTGAATTAGAATAATTATTGCAATAGAAGCTTTGTGATCCAAATACTTGGCGTTCTTATACTAATAGTTGCACATTTTTCTAAACGTGGAGACTAAACATTTGTCTTTTTGTATAAATTGAATAACTGAGCCATTGCTCTAGAGTTGAAGATACAGATGATTCAGCGTTCATATGTTTTGATCATAAACCAAATAGTTGATAAAGGTATTCTTATTTTAAAAGAATTATAGCTAATAACTATGGAAAGAATGATAGTGCTATATTCTTAACATTTTCAACTGCAAATGAAATGATGGATATGTAAGAAGTAATAGCAATAGCTGCTAAAAACCATCAGTTAGGTAAATAGCTGACAAGGAACATTATGGTAGCTGGGATCAGACTGATACAATCTGAGCCCAAAGGTAGATCATAATGTCTTAAATAGAGTCACAATCAGATATTCTTTTTTTTAAAGAATTTTTAAAAATTTCTTTTTATTTATTCATTCATTTATTTTAATTTGACCAGAGAGAGAGAGAGGGAAAGTGATAAAGCAAACCACCAGTCCGGGACTTGAACTGTGGTCAGCCATGTGGGAGTATCCAGCACTTTAACGACAATGCCACCTGCTGGTCCCCCACAATCAGATATTATACTCATCCTGATGTAACACAATGAAAAATACATAATACTGCCTATAAATGTTCTTATCCATTCTCCCTACAAAAATCAAACCTGAAATCTAAGCAAGTATTTAGGTCTAAATAATATACTTATTGTCTAGCTAAAAGATGAACATATAAAAGGACATCGTGCTGATGTAATCAACCAAACCTGGAATATAGGAAATACTATTAGTATAAGACACTTTCTTTCGTTTTTTTTGGAGAGATTTTCGGTATAGGGCGCGTGCGCTCGCCAGACAGACAGAGAGAAACATAGAGACACAAAGCAAGAAATCACCCCCCAGGGGGATGGTCATGCCGCAATCCCTTCTCCTCCATTCTCCTCTTGGAATCTTGGGCATGCACGCACACGCGCCCAGCGTGAGTTTTAAGCCTCCGGGTCCAGGACGCGAACCGCAGTCGACTACGTGGGAGTCCAGCGACATAGCCATTACGCTAACTGTTGGTTCCCTCTTTTTTTTTTTTGAGAAGTTTTTTGCTATAGGGTGTGTGCGCTCACCAGAAAGACAGAGAGAGACAGAGAGACAGAAAATGAGAAATCACTCCCCAGGGGGGATGGCCATGCCACAATCCCTTCTCCTCCATTCTCCTCTTGGGATCTTGGGCACACACACACACACACACATACGTGCCCAGTGTGAGTTTAAGCCACCAGGTCCAGAACTCAAACCATGATCGACTACATTGGAGTAGCTATTACACCAACTGCTGGTCCTCCAAGACTCTTTAGCAAATAAATGCCAAGGTGGAGAAACTTATCAGACTAAAAGAAATATAGTGAAATATAATACATAGTTTTTGGATCCAGATTTTAAAAAGCACACACTGTAAACTAAAAAAATACTTGTTAAATTTTTTGATATAGCGACTTTTTAAAAAATTATTTATTCATGTAATTCCATTTGTTATTATTACTATTTGTTAAATTTGACCAGAGAGAGATAGAATTAGAGAAAGGGGAACCAAGAAAGTAAGCCACCAGTTCTGGAACTCCAACCACAGTTGGCCATGTGGGAATCAAGTGCCTTTAAACGCCACGCCACCTTCTAGCCCTGATATAGTGACTGTTTTTAAGTTCTTTCATTTTATTGTTTTATTATTTATTATTGTGTTACAGAACACATGTGCATATACAAGAGAAAGAGAAAGGAAGAGAGGAAGCACCGCTCCCCCATTCTCTAACTCCTGGTCATGATGCAGTCCTTTTTTCTTATCTTCTCCATCCAGTCAGGATCCTGGGCACATGCATGCCCAGCCATGTAGAATCTGGCTTTCTCTGCATAATATCTAACCACTGTGCTGTGGGGTTAGCCCAAGTCTTTATATTCTAGAAACAGGTACATACTAAAGTGTTTATAGAGGAAGTGATACCATAGCAGAGATTTGCTTTAACATAAACCAGCAGGTGAATGGAGGGACAGGTGTACATCATCGTCCGTAAGTTGTTAGACAAAGTGAGTGAAGAGGGTTCATTATTATTTCTATTTTTGTGTATGTTTTAAAATTTTCCATAAGATAGAGTTTTTGAAAAGTCAAAATAATTACACCACTACTGATAACAAAACAATTGTACAAGCAAAACAAAGTGTTTTTTCTTTTTCTTTTCTTTTTTTGGCAGGGGAGGGGAAAGGTTTTTGCTATAGGGCGCACGTGCTCGCCAGAGAGACAGAAAGCTAGAAATCACCCCCCTGGGGAGATGGCCACACCACAATCCCTTCTCCTCCATTCTCCTCTCGGGATCTTAGGCACACATGCACACATGCCTGGCGTAAGTGTAAGCTACCGGGTCTGGGACTTGAACGGCGGTTGACTACATGGGAGTCCAGCAACATAGCCATTACACTAACTGCTGGTCACCAAAGTGTTTTTTCTTGAAAATCACGTAGTATATTAGAATTTATGATCCAATTGTACTGTGAGAAATTTTGGAGACACTCAGAGGCTACGCTAGGAGAATAGATACTTCTTTGTTTAGAGGTGTCTTGTATTCTGCTGTCAGTAGCACTTCAGATCTTAAGATTGATAATAATTTAATTATATGTTTTCTTTAGAGTTCCACAAACATGTGGAGTTTGATTTCCTTATCAAAGGACAGTTTCTGCGAATGCCCTTGGTCAAACACATGGAGCTGGAGAACATCTCATCTGTAAGTTCAAATACTTGCCTCTGTATTTTACATGAAGGCATTATCAGATATTTAAATTAAGTGCCTTTTAGAATCAGACTGAATCTATCTTTAACATCCAAGCTTCTTTCTTTAAAAGACTATTTATTTATTTACTTATTTATAGAAATTTTTGCTATAGGGCATGTGTGCTTGCTGGAGACAGAGAGACAGAAAGTGAGAAATCATCCCCACCCTGGGGAGATGGCCATGCTGTAATCCCTTCTTCATTCTCTACGGATATTGGTCACACACGCACATGTACCTGGTGTGAATTTCAAGCTGCTAGGTCCTGGACTCAAACCACGGTCGACCACATGGGAGTCCAGTGCTTTAAGCACTACGCCATCTCTCTGGCCCCATTATTTATCTTTTCTATGAAGGAAAGAGAGAGGGTAAGAGAGATAGATACCCCCGCACCGAATCTTTGCAGTTTGATTCACTCCCAGCCTCAGCCAGCCTGGATCATAAACATAAATGTGTGGGACCTCCATACATGCCCAGGGAGGTCCTGGGATGGGATGTGATCCTAGGAATTAAAAAAAAAAAATCACTTTCTTTCATTTATTTTAATTTAACTGGGGAGGGATGGAGTGAGAAAAAGAGAGAGAGGGAAAGTGAGAAAGCAAGCTGCCAGGTCGGGGCCTTGAACAGTGGTTGGCCATGTGAGAGTCCAGTGCCCTTAACCACCATACTACCTGCCAGCGTCAAACCCAGGACTTTTCCTTGTGGGTCTAGCTGTGCTACTCTCTGGCCCCTGAGATATTCATTCCATAGTTTATTGTTTGAACTTCTGTTTCTATATAATCAGTAATTTTTTTTTTAAGAATTATTTTATTTATCTTTATTTATTTATTTTAATTTGACCAGAGGGGAACAGAGTGAGAGAGAGAAGGGAGAGGAAAAATGAGAAAGCAAGCTGCCAGGTCCGGGACTTGAACTGTCGTCGGCCATGTGGGAGTCCAGCGCCCTTAACCACTATACCATCTGCTGGCCCCTACATAATCAGTTCTGAAAGCCCTTCATCTTGTGAGAGTATTTTATTCAAGAAAATACAGATGAATGAACACATTCTTCTTTTCTGTGGAAGAACTGGCAAGGGGATAGCAAATATGTGCTTAGTACTGCTACAAATGTACAAAATAATTGTGCACATATGAAAGCTATGGGTTAGGTTATTACAGTTTATTGGAATTTTGCATCTTCTACTTTTCAAACTTAATATTGCCTTTATAAATTAAAAAGATAATTGTTTTCATAATTTTTTGCTGATTTAATTTTTAAATTGTGGTACAGTATCCATGACATAAAACTTGCCATTTTAACAATCATTGAGTGTACAGTTCACTGGCATTAAGTATAGTTGACCCTTGAACAACACAGGTTTGAACTTTGTAGGTCCACTTATATTGCGTACCTTTTCTGTAAATACTGCAGATGTTTTTTTATCTCATGATTTTTGTAATAACCTTTTCTCTAGCTTGCCTTATTGTAAGAATACAGCATATAATACATATAACATACAAAATGTGTCTTAATCGACTTTTATGTTATCGATAAGATTTCTCGTCAGCAGTAAGCTATACGTAGTTAAGTTTTGGGAGAGTCAAGTTATATGTAGATTTTCGGGCCAGTTGGTGGCATGCCGGTTAAGGCAGCTAGAACCCACATGGCCAGCTGTGATGTTTGAGTCCTGGACCTGCAGCTTTGAAAACACTCCGGATACTTGTCTGTGTACGCTTACCCAAAATCCTGAAAGGAGAAATGGAGGAGAAAGGACTATAGTGGTCATTACCCTCAGGGTGGGTGCTTTTCACCACCACCCCATCACCACCTTATCTCTGTCTCTCCCAGGTGAGCACATGTACTCTATAGCAAAAAAGAAAGAAAAAGTTACATGTGGATTTTTCTCCTGTACTCCTGGTGGGGGTTGCCATCCCTCACCCCCACATTGTTCAAGGATTGACTGTACATTCGCAGCCATTACCACTGTCTGCATCCAGACTGTTGTATTATCCTGTACAGAAGTTCTATACTCATTAAACAATGTGCTTTTATAATTTTTTAATTCAAATATTGTCTTGTATTCTTTTCTTTCCCCACTTTTAGCATAAGTTTTCCAAGGCCATTAATACTTTTGAGTTTTTTTTTTTTTTTTAATAATTATTTTTTGGGGGCCAGCAGGTGGTGGGTGGTTAAGGGTGCTGGACTCCCACACGGTACCACACAGTTCAAGTCCTGAACCTGGTGGTTTGCTTTCTTGCTTTCCCTCTCTCTCACTCTGTCTCTCTCTGATCAAATTAAAATGAATAAATAAGTAAATAAAATTAAAAGTAATTCTTATAAAAAAAGAATTTTTTAGTTTATTCATTTTAATTTGATCAGGGAGAGACAGAGTGAGAGAGAGAAGAGGGAAAGTGAGAAAGCAAACCACCAGGTTTTAGTTAAGGTTTTTGTCTCTTTTTTTTTGAGAGAGAGATTTTTGCTATAGGGTGCATATACTGCCTAGAGATAAAAAGAGACAGAGAACAATGGCCTCCCCCCAACACTGGGGTAGCCATGCCATAATCGCTTCTCTTCTTGGAATTTTGGGCATGCACACACTCACGCCCAGCATGAGTTTCAAGCTGCTAAGTCTGGGACTCAAAACACAGTCGACCATGTGATAGTCCAGGCCTTAACCACTACACCATCTGCTGGCCTGGATTTTTTTGTCTTTTCGAATGGCTCCAAATTTTGGGAGTTATGAAGAGAACTAAGGCGATACATTAAGTTGGAGATTCTTAATTTTTATAATGTAGTATTTAAAAACTATACCACCTGATGGATTTCTGGTTTCTCTCTGTGTCTAGGAAGAGGTTGTGGAGCTAGAATATGTGGAGAAATACACTGCACCCCAGCCGGAGCAATGCATGTTTCATGATGACTGGATCAGTTCCATTAAAGGGGCAGAGGAATGGTATTGCCAGATGAATTTTATTGTTTGCTTATGTGCATCCTTCAGCCTGTTTTAAGTCCAATATGTGAATATTTTTCCCTGATTACCTGTTTATAAAAGTAATTGTGTGATATGTGTGTATTAGTGACCAAGCCAAACAGAAAGATGGTTATATTCATTGTATTCAAGAGAAAATAGGTATTTACTAATACTTTTTTGTTTCAAGATACTGTAGTGACATTTGTCTTCTGAGTAAGTTAAATGTCTTAGGGCATTTAATTTGTTCCATTTGAGTATATTGTGTTTAAGAAGAAGGGTATAATTTATTTCATAGAGGAAAAAATCACTTTTATGGCCACGGTTCTGGCCTGGTACCATGAAGAGGCAGGTTGTGCTAATTTAGAGCTGAAAAAGGCAGGCTGGAAACAAGAAAGAAGGTAAGGGTAGCTCTGAGCAAATCTCTACTGCCCTTACTTGTAGAAAATACCTCAGGAGTTCATAGTGGCTCTTAGTAAGAGCTTACTTCTTTTGAAGAATGTCTCCTTGGGGTTATTATACAGTTATTTATGTATTTATTGCTGGTCGTATTTTTACTTTAAACGAGTTTCAGTGGCTATGTTCAAAGAACTATTAGGCTTTACAAGGAATTTGCGTAACTTCCCTGAGAGTTGTATTTATAACAGTAGTAAATAATGACAGTCATTATTTTTGAAAGATCAAGTGTAACTTCTGATCTGTTCTAGAATATTTCAAAGTCTTGATCTTCATACTGAGGAAGAGTTTAAAACCATAATCTTGAAGGTTTACTTGTCATTGTCCTAGAAACTATTTATTTTCATGGTTTGCAAAAGCTTCTTTTCTTATTTTATAACATTTATTTTTCTCCTCATAGGATTTTAACTGGTTCTTATGATAAGACTTCTCGTATCTGGTCCTTGGAAGGAAAATCAATAATGACAATTGTAGGACATACAGACGTTGTAAAAGATGTGGCCTGGGTGAAAAAAGGTTAGAGCCCTTTGCCTAAGCTGATAAGAATTCTAGATAGGGATTTGGAAGTAAGCCATTTTCATTCTGGGACGGGGGGATGGGGACGTGATGTCTCTTGCCTCAGTTATTGTGAAGTCTTCAAAAAATACTGTGTTCAGGAAGAAAAGGATTGTATTTAAAAATCTATAAATTGGTGGAAATGAATTCTTAATTAACATCAGATAATATACGTTTTCAAGTTAATACTGTATTGAACTCGTATCTTCTACTTTTTTTTCTTTTTTTTTTTTTTTGGAGAGTTTTTTACGTAAGCTCTCAAGAGAGACAGAAAGTGAGAAATCACCCCCCGCAGCGGGGATGGCCACGCCACAATCCCTTCTCCTCTATTCTCCTCTCGGGATCTTGGGCACACACGCACACGCGCCCGGCGTGAGTTTTAAGCCACTGGGTCCAGGACTCAAACCGCGGTCGACCACATGGGAATCCAGCAACATAGCCATTACACTAACTGTTGGTTCCCATATCTTCTACTTTTAAAGAATTTCCTTTGTACCATGTTATCTTTTTTTCTAATTTTGTTTGTGCATTCTATGTTTTTTTTTAGACTTTGTTTCACTATGTTGCTGAGACTGGCCTTGATCTCATGGTCCTCCTGCCTCAGACTCCCAATTTGTTGGGATTATAGCGTCATGGCATCATGCCCCCACTTCAGGCTATCTTTTTAACAATTTTTCTCTCTCTCTTTTTTTTTTTTTTTTCTTTTAGGCTTTTGCCACAGGGTACCTGTGCTCACTAGAGAGAGACAGAGAGAAAATGAGAAATCACCATTCAGGGGGGATGGCCACATTACAGTCTCTTCTCCTCCATTCTTCTGTCAGGATTTTGGGTATGCACACACACATAACTGGCATGAGTTTTAAGCCTCCATATCCAGGACTTAAAGTGGTCAGCCATGTGGGAGTCTAGCACCTTAACCACTATACTGCCTGCTGACCCCAACAATCATTTTTAACAATAACAAGATTAATTTTTTAATTTCAGAACATGATACATATAAAGTGTACTAATGTTTTTCTTATTCTTGTGTTCTTTCTTTTAGATAATTTATCTTGCTTACTACTGAGTGCCTCTATGGATCAGACAATTCTCTTGTGGGAGTGGAACGTAGAGAGGAACAAAGTGAAAGCTCTGCATTGCTGCAGAGGTCATGCTGGAAGTGTGGAGTCTATAGCTGTTGATAGCTCAGGAACTAAAGTACGTGACTAGTGTATTATTAGTACTGTGTTACACAAGAATTTGAGCTTATTACTAAATATTTTTGTCTTTATGTATTCATTGCTATTGGTCTAGCTTCAGTAACTAAAGAATAATTCCAAACCAAAAGTAAAGAAGAGATACAAAATTTACTTCCTCAGCCTGGATTTCTCTTGTTTAAGTAAACAGGCTATGTCTTTATGTAACTTTCTTGAATCATAGTAATGACATATTTCCTTTTCTTGGAGATTTTTGCTATAGGGTGCGTGCGCTTGCTGGAGACAGATAAAAAATGAAAAAGCTCCACCTGGGGGGATGGCCACGCCACAATCCCTACTCCCCCATTCTTCCTTTTGGGACTTTAGGCATGCACACACATGCATCTGGCATGAGTTTCAAGCCTACAGGTCCAGGACTTGAACCATGGTTAGCCATGTGGGAGTCCAGCACTATAATGACTGCATCACCTGCTGGCTTCAGTAATGACATAATTTTCAATCTACCAGCTGCTCTTGAGTGCTGTATCAATTGAACATGCCTTCCTGATTATCTCAGACTTACATACACTAAAGTTAACATTAATAGAGTTTATTTTACTGTCAGTGCTGACTTATTCTTTACTGTGAGATAATAGTAAAGTTGGAGCCAGCTGGTAGAGTGGTGGTTAACGCAGCTCGATCACATACATCTGACTGTGTAGTTCAAGTACTGGATCCAGCAGCATAAAAAACATGCCAGGTGTGTGTGTATCCAGGCCTAAAGTCCTGAAAAGAGAATAGAGGAGAAGAGATCGTGGTGTGGCCATCCCAATCCCCGGGGGGTGCTTTCTCACTTTCCCTCTCTGTCTCTTCCTGTCTTTGTCTAGCAAGCACATGCACCCTATAGCAAATTGAAAAGAAAAATAGTTAAAGGGAAAATCCAAGGGCAATGCTATATTGCCTTAGGAAGGCTTACAGGCTCACAATTTGAAAATTTCTTAAACCACATTGAAGTATTCTGAATTTAACAGTGTTTTTTCAGTATCTCTTTGCCAATAGGACGTTTGATACATTTAGTGGTAAAGATTTATGTCTTTTCACATTTTGCAAGAAAGGTTTATGTTGTTGAGTGCAAATGTAAATGAATTAATCTTACCCTGTCTTTTGGCTATAAGAGGAACAAATTCATCTTGGTCTTAGTTAAACTGGAAAGAAAATTTATTGGGTTGCAAGATCCAAAGAAGGAGGGAACAACCAAATCTCTAGAATGATGAAGATGCATTGTGCCTCAGATACCATTGGGATGAAGGCTTAAATGTGGCCAGCTCCCCTGGTCTCTTTCTTGTTTCCCAATCAATTTTATTCTCTTTCACCTCAGCCTGGCTTTCTCAGTGACAATAAACCTGGACTTCAGTATGTCCCAGGTTTTACTTCCTATACTGTCTGTTCCTAGGGAAACTTCTGTAATATAAGACATTTTAAAAAGGTGTTTATTGCAGAAGAGACCTACTGATACCATGTGGGTCAGTTTCCTGTCCTAATCTAAGCAAACCTGGCAAGGGAATAAGGCCAGGCAGGAGCGGCAGCTCCCCAGATTGCCATGCAGATTGAGGGTGTGGCTTCCAGGAGACCATAAGCTGGGAAGATGGTACCATAGTAGTGAAGGGTTTCAGAGCTTATGTGCCACAGAACAAGTGAGGTAAAGGTTTTGTAGTTAAATAACAGGGGAAGAAAATAAAAAGGCAAATAATGTGAGTTATACTACATCTGCTTTTTCCCTCATATAACTGTCTTTAGTTTTGCAGTGGCTCCTGGGATAACATGCTAAAGATCTGGTCGACAGGTAAAGTAAATATTTCTTTGACTTACTAATGATGTTTTATGAATTTCAGTAAAAGAGGACTTTCTAACCCACATTTTGTCATAAAAATGGACCAGAGCTTTTTAGGACACACATAAAGGTACATAGTATGGTGACACGTTCGTATATTCTTGTGTTTCAATATTTTTTCTACCCACCATTCCCTTATTACTGAACAATGTCACTGAATTGCTGCAAGGTGTCAACAATGTGTTTAGTGTGATATACACCTATCTTAGTTTTCAGAGTTCCCTTATTTAGGAACCTAGAAGTAAACAGTACCTTCTGAGTCATTTTGACTCTAAAATAACTTAAAATTATCATTCACAAATGACTTTTTTTTAAAGTTTATTTATTTATTTCATGAGAGTTAGAGACAGAAGCATCCTCACTGGGCTCTTATGCCACAGTCCCCCCTGCCCCCACTCTCCTAGATAGCTGTGATCATGGTCATACGTGTTGAGCATGGACAGGTCAATCAGGGAATTGAACGATAAACCATTTGGATCCAGCACTACCAGTTCAATAGCATATTAGCACTGCACTGCTGAGCCCACTCCAAAAATAAATTTTGAGTCATTTTACTATTAAAGAAATTTCTTAGTTTAAGTGCTTTGCTATAAAAAAATTATTTAATTTTACTTAATATTATTATTATTATTTTAATTTGACCAGAGAGTGAGACATGGAAAGTGAGAAAGCAAGCCACCAGGTCTGGGACTCGAACTGTGGTCCACCACGTGGGAGTTCAGCGCCTTAACCACCACACCACCTTCCGACCCCTGAATACTTTGCTTTAAAAAAAATTATAATAAAGATAATTTTACAAAGATTAATATTCTTGCTTTGAAAACAGATAGAAAGGAACAGTTGAGGCCCAGCCACGATGGCAAAGGATTAGGGTACTGCTCTGCCATCTTGAGGCTCCATGGGAAGCCCAGGTTCAGATCCTAGATACCCCAGGAGAGATACGAACCTCTAGCCGACTGGAAGCCTGGGGCAGGAGGTTGGCGGCATGGCAAGACCCTGTCAAAAATACCTACTGCTCTTTATCTATCTCCCTCTCCATCTCATTTTAATAAATAAAAAAAAGGAATAATTGAGAGAGAAGGAGGAGCAAGGACTCTTAAAGGAAAGTACCTTCGTAGTAGTAAGAGAGCATTGATGGGAAGAGAAAGGAAAGAGCCCACATAGATGATTTAATTTGAAAACCTAGTAGCTAATACTATTTATTGCACTGGATGACAGACCAGAATATCTGTGTTACATTTGAGAGAATTGCATTATAACACCCTAAATACAGTTCACAAAGTAGAATTAAAGGGAATCAAGAAAGCTTACCAGTTTTAAATAATTACATGTAAGATGTCAGAAAATATATAATCCATTTTAGTAGATTTTATATAGGTGATTAGAACAAGCAAGTTTGAAGAAGATAGCAATTTAGATTAGAAAATTTTCCTTTTGTGGAATATTTTACTTTCTGACAGTGCTAGGTAAATGAGATAATGTGCATGGTTAGCTTGTACCTTTAAGGGGTTTATAATCTCTTGATAGTTAGAGAAAGCAGATTTATAAAACTTAGAACGCACTGGGCCAGCAGGTGGTGTGGAGGTTAGGGCACTCGATCCTACATGGCCAACCACGTGGTTCAAGTCTTGATCCAGCGCCTTGAAAATAACACTGGCTTTTGTGTGGCCCTTGTGTGTACATACCCAAAGTCCTGAGAGGACACTAGAGGAGAAGGGATTGTGGTGTGGTCATTTCCCCTGGGGAGGGCGCAGTCATTTTTCACTTTATGTTTGTCTGTGTGTATCTCTCTGGCAAGGGCATGCACCTAAATCAATTTAAAAACATTTTTTAAAATTAATTACTTAATTGTATTTATTATTATTATTAATTTTTAATTTGACCAGAGAGAGAGAAAGTGAGAAGGCAAGCCACCAGATCCAGGACTCAAGTTATAGTCATAACCACCATGCCACCTGCTGACCCCAGCAATTAAAAATTTAAAACTAAAGTTGCAACACATTAAAATCTCTAGTTTTTGTTTGAAAAATAACTGTGAAACACACTCCTTGTTATAAAAGTGAAATAGTCAGGGAGTACAAACATGACTGAAATGTATCTCCTTTTAACATGTGTGATATAGTTTCTCCTTTGTAATATAAATGCATTCTGGGTACAATTTTGTGTTAACTATGGTAAAGTGGCAGATATTCTAAACAGTTGTCTTAAAGACCTAACAAGATTTTAAACTAAGTTTTCATTAAAAAAAAAGAAAAACTTTTTTTGTTTTCTCTTTTTCAAAGATTGTTAATCCAAGTATTATTTTTAATAGATATCATAACTTTCCATTAACCTAAATAATGGGGAATTCCCCAACCAGTTGAAAAAAACACAGAGAAACCATATACCCAGAAATGTAGAAAATTTCAGACAGTTTGCAGTTAAATTGATTGTTTTTAAAATATCAAATCTAATTCTTAATTATATAGTCCCAACGGATGAAGAAGATGAAATGGAAGAGTCCACAAATCGACCAAGAAAGAAACAGAAAACAGAGCAGCTGGGATTGACAAGGGTTAAGTATTTGCGAGAGCACTACTATTCCTGCATGTATCTGAGTCTTGTAATACAACAGCATTGAGCTAGGTTTATGGATTGCTATGGTGATTATCTACCTATTATAGGAAGGGACTTCAAAAACTTCATAGAAATGTGGAATTAGGGAACCAGCAGGTGGCATGGTGGTGAAGGCGCTGGATACTCGCACATTGCTGCCCACAGTTCGAGTCCTGGACCTGGCGGCTTGCTTTCTCATTTTCTCTCTATCTCTCTCTGTGTTTCTCTCTGGTCAAATTAAAATAAATGAATGAATACATAAAATTAATTCTTTAAAAAAAAGAGATGTGGAATTAAAGTACAAATTAATGTGAGAAAATGTTTATATATTTTTTCATTACACAGTTTCCATGAACTTTTGAACACCCTTGAAAATTCATGATCGAGCACATGTGTGATTGTCAGGATTTTGAGCTCTTGGGCATGTGTACATGGCCCACTGTGTTTTCAGAACTGTTGTATCAGGGACTTAAAACCATGGTTAGTATGTGGCTTCCATATCTGCGCTACACAGGCTGGGCCATATTAATTTTTTTGTTTGTATGTTTCAGATAGATAAATAATAGTATATTCATTTTCTCATTTAGCTTTTTTGTCTTTTTATTTGTCAGAGGGCTCATGTGCTTGCCAGAGAGAGGGAGAAAACACCCCCCTCAGTGGGATATGGTCATCCCACAATTCCATCTCATTCATTTCTCCAACCTGTTGCGATCTGGAGCATGCATGCAAAAGTGCCCAGCATTTTTTTTTCAAGCTACCAGCGTTAGGATTCAAACAATAGTCAGTTATGTAGGAGTTGGCTTTCATAACCACTAAGCTACAGAGCTAGCCTCCTCATTCAGCTCATTATAGGACTTAAACACATGCATTAATTATTAATTGCAGTCATGCCAGAAACCCTTATCTTCTGTCTGCATTTCTTTCCAGTACCTGACTGTGTTAGTGTGACTGATTCTGCCAACCTGTTCATTTATCTATCTTTCGCTTCATATATTAGCATACAGTAGCTTTTCTCCTCTATAATTTTCAACATTGCCCTTTCCCCTCTAGGCCTATTCCACTTTAGTTGGATTGTATAGGTTGAGCATCCCTAGTCTGGAAATCTGAAATAACTCCCAAATCTGAAACTTTCCGAACTCTGACGAGGCCATAGGTGGAAAATTCCACGCTTGGACCTCATGAGAGGCTGTAGTCCAAGCACTACTATACAAAAATAATTGTATAACATTACCTTCAGGCTATGCGTATAAGGTAAATGTGAGGTATAAGTAAATTTCATTTTTAGACTTGGGTCCCAAATCCAAGATACTTCAGAACTTAAATGCAAATATTTCAAAATGCCAAACATTTCTGGTCCTAAGCTTTTTTTTTTTCTTTTTTTGGAGAGGTTTTTGCTATAGGGCACATGCGCCAGAAAGACAGAGATAGACAGAGAGAGAGAAAGCGAGAAATCACCCCCCAGGGGGGATGGCCACACCACAATCCCTTCTCCATTCTCCTCTTGGTATCTTGGGCATGCATGCACATGTGCCCGGCATGAGTTTAAGACACCGGATCCGGGGCTCTAACTGCAGTCAGCTACATGGGAGTCCAGCGACATAGCCATTACGCTAACTGCTGTTCCCTGGTCCTAAGCATTTTAGTCAAAGGACATACAACCTGTAGTGCCAGTGCCAGTGTTGACTTTTGTATTTATTAAAATATTTTTGCATAGAGGAAAATTAATTCTTCTTGGTATGTAGCTCTTTAAGTTTTGATAAATGCATAGAATTATTGTAACTACTGTACAAATCAAGACACAGTCTCTCATAACCATGTTGTTTTCTATCCTAGATCCTTCTGACTTTTTATGGTACCTTACTTTCTGTTTCATTTAGGTCACATCTGAGGGTATTAAATTCCCTATATTGTCAACCTTTCCTCCTACTTCTTCTTTTTTTTTTTTGAGAGGTTTTCGCTATAGGGCGCGTGCTCTTGCCAGACAGACAGAGAGAGACATAGAGACAGAAAGCGAGAAATCACCCCCCCAGAGGGGATGGTCACGCCGCAATCCCTTCTCCTCCATTCTCCTCTTGGGATCTTGGGCACACACGCACACGCACCCGGCGTGAGTTTTAAGCCACCGGGTCCGGGACGTGAACCGCAGTTGACTATGTGGGAGTCCAGCGACATAGCCATTACGCTAACTGCTGGTTCCCCCTCCTACTTCTGTCCCTTGACAACCACTGATCCATTCTCTAGTCCCAGTAGGGTGTGGTCATGCCACAATCTGTTCTCCGTTTCTCCATCTGTTGAGATTTTGGCCATTTATAAGGGGCTGTAAAAACAGATAAAGAACAAGACAATACAACAGAAACTATATGGTCTACAAAAACTAAAATATTTATATGCTGGCCTTTTACTGAAAGAGTTTCCTCCCTGATTAGTAAAATCCACATTTCAAATGATCTATTAATACTCTTTTTTTTTTTTTTTTAATAATTTTCCCCCTTAGTTTGTTATGGGGACTGTACACACACCAGAGAAAGAGACAGAGTTAGAGAGAGGGAAAGTGAGAAATCACCACCCAGGGGCAATGACCATGCCACAGTATCTTCTCCTCTTGAGGTGTTGGACATGCACACATATGCGCCTGGCATGATTTTCAGACCACTGGGTCTGGGACTTAACCTGCAGTCACCCATGGGTTAACCACCTTAACCTCCGTGCGACCTGCTGCCCCTTTCAAATAGTTTTTGCTGTAAGACATGTGTGCTTGCAGGGGGCGTGGAGTGAGGAATCACTCCCCCAGGAGAATGGCCATACCTCCACCCGTTCTCAAGTCTCTTCTCAGGATTTTGAGTACACACACACATAACTTAGCACATGTCTCAAGCCACCAGGTCTGGGATTCAAACCGCACAGTTGGCCATGTGGGATTCAGGCTCCTTAACCACCATGCTACCAGCTGGCCCCTATTTTACTTTTTTGTTAAGGTTATTAAAGAATTAATGTAACGGAGTTACAAAGGCAGATCGTGTCCCATTTCAAAATTCTACCTTTCTCTCTTTTATGTGTTCCTTATATTTAAGACAAGCACTATACCCTAGTTTAGTGTGTATGTTTTTTGTTTGTTTGTTTGTTTTTAATTGCTAGTGGTGGCATGTATGCTTGCCAGAAAGAGGCAGAGAAAGGGGGAAAAAGAACCCCCACAAGGGGACATAGTCAGACCACAATCTCTTTTCTTCATTTCCCCATCCTATTGGGATTTTGGGCATCTGTGCATTTTTTTCAAACCACCCATGCTGGGATTCAGCCATGGTTGACTGTGTGGGGTCTGGCTCTCCTAATCACCAGGTTATTGTTTGGCCCTAGTTTAATTCTCTTAATTCTAAAAAGATATTGAAGATTTTTGGAGTAGTAATAAATGAGCCATGGAAAATATTTAAAGATTAGGTAGTGTGGTGATTAAGGCAGCTGGATCCCACGTGACTGACTATGCAGTTTGAATCCTGGCCTGAGCGGTTGGGCACCTAAGGCATGCATTTCCAACATCCCAAAAGGAGAATGGAGGAGAACGGATTGCAGCATGGCCATCCCTCAGTGGGAACGCTTTCTCTCTGACTGTTTCTCTCACTGTCTTTCTTTCTCTCTGTCTGGTGTTCACACATTCCCTCTGGCAAATGGCGGGTGGGGGGACTAAGTAATAGGACTTAAAGCTGCTGAAGAAATGGTGATGGTGATGAGGTGGTGAGAATAAGTATCTAACTTACCAGAAAGAATCATATAAAAATTGGTAATACTTTGACTCAAACTTAGATCTGACTCAAAAGCTTTTTCTTGCTAACTATGGAGCAGGTTCATAAAAACCAATCCCAAGGATGTGCTCCCACTGAGTGGAGGGTCGTAAAGAGTATCACCGTGCCAGCCTCCAAGAATTGGAGTCCAAATGCTCCCATCCACTGCATCTAGGCTGCACTTTGACCAGTTGCATGAGAGCAGTGAGACAGAAAACACTCGTACAACAAGTTATTAGGAAGCAGCTGTTACTTACCGATAGGTAGCAAGGGACAGCAGAAGTTTCAGACCCGTTGTGAGATGGTTCCCCAAGACTTTAGAAAGCTACTCAGCGAGGATGGAGCCTCAGCTACATGTACCACTCTTGTCCCTCTGCTGAGGGATTCCAAAAGAGCCTGCCATGGGTTATATACCCTGAAGTCTCCCTACTTTACTAGGAAAAGCTTTGAAGTACATTCTGTATGGGAGAGGGTGGAGAGTCTAGAACAGAGCCCAGCTTGTTCTGTTATTCCCTCCCTATCTTAAGATGTTACATTCCCAGCACAATTATTCTGAAAGTTATAGGCAAGGAGAGGGGAGAAACTGGGTCAGTCCAAGGTTATCCAAGGACATCCAATACTGACCTTTAACACAATGTGTTTGTCAGGTGGGAGAACTAAGTGTTAGATTATAATGAAAAGTAGAACAGAGGTGGCAGCATCCGAGTAACTTTGGAGTAATATTTGGGTTCATACTCAAGTGTGCCACTTATAATCTGTATGACCTTAAACAAGTTATCTTTCTTAGCTCATGTTTTCATGTATAAAGTAAAAAAAAAAAAAACAATTCCCATCTTGTGGGATTGTTTTAAAGAAGTAAAGCTGGATATAAAAGCTAAAACACTTCGGGCGCGTGTGCGTGTGTGCCCAAGATCCCAAGAGGAGAAGGGATTGCGGCGTGACCATCCCCCCTGGGGGGTGATTTCTCGCTTTCTGTCTCTATGTCTCTCTCTGTCTGTCTGGCAAGCACACGCGCCCTACAGTGAAAATCTCTCCAAAAAAAAGAAAAAAAAGCTAAAACACTGGTAAAATGACTAGCACATGGTCTTTGGAAGTAATAACTACTGTTATTTCAAATACTCTGAAATAAAAATGCTTTCCCCTTTTGGGGTCTTTCATTTCTAGACTCCTATTGTGACCCTCTCTGGCCACAAGGAAGCAATTTCCTCGGTTCTGTGGTCAGATACTGAAGAAATCTGCAGTGCCTCTTGGGACCATACGATTAGAGTGTGGGATGTTGAGTCTGGCAGTGTTAAGTCTACTTTGGTAAGATCTATGAATTTAGTTGTCCTCTGATGAACTTCGATCTTTCAAGTGACAAATGTCTCTTTTAGTCACCGTGGTTAAATGTTCTTTCCTTTTCTTTTTCAGACGGGAAATAAAGTGTTTAATTGTATTTCCTATTCATCACTTTGTAAACGTTTAGCATCTGGAAGCACAGATAGGCATATCAGGCTGTGGGATCCCAGAACTAAAGGTGAGTCCTGTAAAAGGTGGGGGGCAAGGATGTGTAAAGAACATCTATTTCTCTTCTCACTAGAGATGTGGTGTAAAGAATGATGAAGTTCTACAAATATATTGATGTTCCTGCTTCTCTTTTCTGAAATTCATCACTTGTTATCTCTTTTGCTTTGTTCAGATGGTTCTTTGGTATCGCTGTCCCTGACCTCCCATACAGGCTGGGTCACATCCGTAAAATGGTCTCCTACCCATGAACAGCAGCTGATTTCGGGCTCTTTAGTGTATAAAGTAAAAAAAAAAAAAAACAATTCCCATCTTGTGGGATTGTTTTAAAGAAGTAAAGCTGGATATAAAAGCTAAAACACTTCGGGCGCGTGTGCGTGTGTGCCCAAGATCCCAAGAGGAGAAGGGATTGCGGCGTGACCATCCCCCCTGGGGGGTGATTTCTCGCTTTCTGTCTCTATGTCTCTCTCTGTCTGTCTGGCAAGCACACGCGCCCTACAGTGAAAATCTCTCCAAAAAAAAGAAAAAAAAGCTAAAACACTGGTAAAATGACTAGCACATGGTCTTTGGAAGTAATAACTACTGTTATTTCAAATACTCTGAAATAAAAATGCTTTCCCCTTTTGGGGTCTTTCATTTCTAGACTCCTATTGTGACCCTCTCTGGCCACAAGGAAGCAATTTCCTCGGTTCTGTGGTCAGATACTGAAGAAATCTGCAGTGCCTCTTGGGACCATACGATTAGAGTGTGGGATGTTGAGTCTGGCAGTGTTAAGTCTACTTTGGTAAGATCTATGAATTTAGTTGTCCTCTGATGAACTTCGATCTTTCAAGTGACAAATGTCTCTTTTAGTCACCGTGGTTAAATGTTCTTTCCTTTTCTTTTTCAGACGGGAAATAAAGTGTTTAATTGTATTTCCTATTCATCACTTTGTAAACGTTTAGCATCTGGAAGCACAGATAGGCATATCAGGCTGTGGGATCCCAGAACTAAAGGTGAGTCCTGTAAAAGGTGGGGGGCAAGGATGTGTAAAGAACATCTATTTCTCTTCTCACTAGAGATGTGGTGTAAAGAATGATGAAGTTCTACAAATATATTGATGTTCCTGCTTCTCTTTTCTGAAATTCATCACTTGTTATCTCTTTTGCTTTGTTCAGATGGTTCTTTGGTATCGCTGTCCCTGACCTCCCATACAGGCTGGGTCACATCCGTAAAATGGTCTCCTACCCATGAACAGCAGCTGATTTCGGGCTCTTTAGATAATATGGTCAAGCTGTGGGATACAAGAAGGTAAATCTTGTTTATGATCCACAAAAGAAAGAAATCAACTAGACATAAAATGAATACTGACATAATTCTTTAGAACAAAAGGGGAAAAAAAATAAAAAGCCCTTGGTTGTACTACCTGATACAACACTGATAGCCAAAAGAAAAGCAAGAATCATAGGAATTCCCTGCATGTTAATATGTTGTTTTTCACATCCTGAAAGAATCTAATTCCATGTTGATTTTTTGGTTAAAAAAAAATTAAATTTATAAAATATTTCTGACTTTTTTATAAAATAGGAAAAATATTAGAGTTTAGAAAGATTATCCTAGACCTTAATAAGTTGTGTTAATAAAAAATTAAATTTAAAAACTCTTTTTAAAAATAATCAGATATTAAAGATGTTTTTCTTAGTCTAATGCTATGATATTAGTGTATACAAAATATCCCAACAAAATGCATGCATGCATAATATATTTACTTTTCTTTACAAGTAGAACAGAGATGGATTAACCAAATACCTGTGTTATTGTTGTTGGCCTTAAATCTGCCTTCTAACACCCTTATATCATCTTAGAATACGTGACTTATAGAACTTACATACATTTTAACTGTATACTTTAAATAGCATTTAACATACTATTTTTGATCATAGTAGTAAATGCTATGAAGGAAGTAAAGCAGGGTACAGGGGCACTTCTTTGGAAAGTGTACTCTTTGAAAGTAGTGTTTTAGTAGTGAATTGAAATTTAGTATGAGAGTCTGAGCCTTGTCCAGATCATGGCAGAGAGAGCAACAGATAATGTGGAAAGAATCTTGGCACGTGGGCAGGATAGCCAGAAGGCCAGTGTTGCTGGAATGGAGTAAGCAGTGAGGAGAACGGCAGGACATGAGGCAGGTAGTGGTTATATCAACCAAGACATTGTAGTCCATGGTAAGAAATGTTTCATTCTAAGTGTGATGAGACGGTGTTGGAGAGTCTTGAACAAGGAAGCAAGACTGGAAACAGAGGCTGTTGTAATTCAGAGATAGAGAATGACCTTGGGCGACTGCGGTGGTAGCATTAGAGATAAGTGATCGAACTCCAGGTATATTTTGAAGATAGCTCTACGGCAAGATCAAATATGGAAGTAGGCATCGATGGGAGATAGTGTCCACATTTTCTGCCTGAGCAGTTGAGAGACTGGGTGAAGTCATTTACTGTGATAGGAAAGAGTAGAAAAAGGTTTATGAGGGAAAAATCAAAAGTTTCATTTTGTTCATTTAAAATTTCTAATGCTCAAAAGGCACCCAACTGTCAGTCATTTGGCTATACATATGAAACTCAGGAGAGAAGTTTGGACTGAAAATCTAAATTTGGGAGTTACAGGGTATAGGTGACAAGACAAAGGGTGTGTAAAGCCATGATTTTGTAGTAAAAGAAAACTAGTCTAGGAGGCATGAAATAGGCCTAATTATAAATACATTTTTATAACTAACTTTTTTTCTGAATATATTTGTTGAAATAAATCTCTGTAGTCTGTTAATGATACAGGAAAAAATAGGAGAAGTAGTCAAGTAAATACCCAGAATTTTAAGATTAGGTGGTTACTGGGGTAAGGGTGGTAAGCCCTGCGAAGTTTTCAGAAAAATGGGATTAGTTGTACGTGTTTGTTTTAAACAGGGATGCATATAACATGTTAATATTTTCATTTTTCAGTTGTAAGGCTCCACTCTATGATCTGGCTGCTCATGAAGACAAAGTTCTGAGTGTAGACTGGACAGACACAGGGGTAAGGATTTTAATAGTTACCTAATAAAGAGGAAAATATTTTAGGATTAATCTGGTGTTTGTGTTTATAAAGTTACTAGTTTCAATATATCTAATACTTATAATTATGTATTATTATGTATTATGTTTTCCTTAGTATTTTTCAAAAAAATCTCACATCTCATTCAAAGAGAGAAATTTTTAAAATAATTATCTTTTTAGGGGCAAGCAGATGGTATAGCAGTTGCGTTGTGGGATTCCCACATGCTTGATGATGGTTCAAGTCCTAGACACAATGACTTTGAAAGCACGCTAGGTCCATGTCCGTACATGCCCTAGATCCCAGGAGGAAAATGAAGGAGAAGGGATTGCAGCATGGCCATCCTCCCTGGGGGATGATTTCTTGCTTTCCCTCTCACTGTATCTGTCTGTCTCTCTCTCCTCCTCTCTCCAGTGAGCATATGCACCCTATGGAAAACACTCTAAAAAGGAAAGAAGAAAAAACTATTTATGTAATTTTATTTATCATTGTTAGTATTGTTTTGTTTTGTTTTAATTTGCTACAAGGCATGTGCATTTACCAGAGAAGAGAGTGAGGTGTGAGAAAGCAAGCCACCAGATCCAGGACTCAAACTGCAGTCTGCCATGTGGAAGTCCAGTGCCTTAACCACCACACCACCTGCTAGCCCCCAAATTTGCCCTTTAATAATACAAGGTAGTGGGGACCAGCAGCTGGTGTAATGGTTACATCACTGGACTCCCACATGGCCTACTGTGGTTGGAGTACCGGACCTGGCAGCTTGAGATTTGCTGGCATGTATGTGTGTGTGCCCAAAATCCCAGAGGAGATGGAAGGAAGAGGGGACTGTGGCATGGCCATCCCCCTGGAAGGTGATTTCTCTCTTTCTCTCTCTATGGCATGCGTATGTGCCCTATAACAAAAACCTCTCAAAGTAAGTAGGGGGCCAGCAGATGACTCGGAGGTTAAGGATGCTGGACTCCCACATGGCCAACCATGGTTCGAGTCCCAGACCTGGTAACTTACTTTCTCATATCCCCTCTCTTTCTCTCACTCTCGCTCTGTCCCTCTCTGATCAAATTAAAAATAAATAAAGTTAAGTAATTCTTTAAATAAATAAATAAATAATACAAAGTAGTAAAATTTCAAATTTTAAAGCAGCTTCTTTTTCTTTTGAGTTTTTGTTTTTGTTTAATGTTTGCCAGAGGGCACATGTGCTTGCCCAAAAGAGACAGACAGGGAGAGAAAGAAATTGAGAAAGCACCCCACCATACCCATGGTGAGTGGTCACATTGCAATCTTTTCCGTCATTTCTCCCTCCTTTTGGAATTCCGGGCACACATGCTCCTGCCGTGTTTTTCAAGCTGCCAGGTCTGGGACACTAACTGCACAGTGGGCCACGTGATATCCTCCTCCTTTTACTATCACATCAGGGTTGTCCCTCTCAAGAGTATCTCTTTTAAGTTTTTGTTGCTACGGGGTACTTGTGCTTTGCCAGAAGAGAGAGAAAGAGAAGGAAAGTGAGCAATCATCCTTCAGCAGGGATTCATTTTTCTGCTGAACATGGAAGGTAATGTCCACATTTTCTGCCTGAGCAGTTGGGTGACTGGGTGAAGTCATTTACTTCCATTCAGCCACAGCCCATTCTCTAGTCTCTTCTTGGGATTTTGAGCACACATGCATGTGCACCTGGAGTGATTTTCAAGCTGCTGGGCCCAGGACGCGAACACGCAGCTGCCATGTGTGATTCAGCATCTTAACCTCCATGCAACCTGCTGGCCTTTCATGAGTATCTTAATGAAACATTTTTAAATCTATAAACTCAACTATATCAGACTAAATGTATCAAAGTATTTCCCAGTTAGCTAACCCTTATATAATGTCTGGATTGTTAAGAGTGTATTTAAAGAATTACAGTATAATTATATTCATATATGTGTGTGTGTGTGTGTGTGTGTGTGTGTGTGTACACATACATACATAAACTTAACATCTAAGAATTCTTTCCAAATACACATTCTAGGGCAACTTGAATAATTTGTAATATACATTTACTTGCAAACAATGAATGTATTTTTTTAAAGAATTATTCATTTAATTTTATCTATTATCATTAGGTTTTGGGGGTTTTTTTAAGAGAGATTTTTGCTATAGGGCACATGTGCTTGCTGGAGAGACAGAGAGATAGAAAGCAAGAAAGTAAGAAATCACTCCCCGGGGGGACAGCCACATTGCAATCCCTTCTGCTCCATTCTCCTCTTAGGATTTTGGGCACATACACATGTGCCCAGCATGAGTTTTAAGCCTCTAGATCTGGGACTCAAACCGCAGTCATCTATGTGGGTGTCCTGTGGTGTAACCGCCATGTGTTGATCCCTTACTATTAGTTTTAATTTGCTATAAATCATGTGTGTTCGTCAGAGAGAGACAAACAGGGTAAGAAAATAAGAAAGCAAACTGCCAGGTCTGGAATTCAGACCACAGTTGGCCACATGGGGGTCCAATGTCCTAACCACCATGTCCGAATGTATTTTCTTAAATAGGCAAACTAGATGTCCTTCAAACTTTTAAATTTTATTATTGATCTTAGCAAATACTTCATTGAAAGCACATAGTGGGACCAGTAGTTGGCGAAATGGCTGTGTTGCTAGACTCCCATGTAGTCGACTGCGGTTCGAGTTCTGGACCTGGTGGCTTAAAACACTGGGCGCGTGTACGTGCATGGCCAAGATCCCGAGAGAAGAATGGAGGAGAAGGGATTGTGGCGTGGCCATCCCCAGGGGGGTGATTTCTCGCTTTCTGTCTCTCTCTCTGCCTTTCTGGCGAGCACACACGCCCTATAGCAAAAACCTCTCCCCCCTAGAAAAAAGAAAAGTACATTAGCATATTGTGCCCTAACTAAATTCAGGTGAGTACTTATAAAATTTCTTACTGAATTGTACTGTAACTGCCAGATCTGTTGTATTAATAATAGGTCCCTTTAAGTACTAATTCTCAATGCAAATTAGTAGCTTATTCATAATTCTTCTAGTAATTAGAATCATTAGTATTTAATTGAAATAATTGTATTTACTTACCTTTTCATGTCTTTTCTTTTTTTTCCCTTTACACAGTTACTTCTAAGTGGAGGAGCAGACAATAAATTGTATTCCTACAGATACTCACCTACCACTTCCCATGTAGGGGCATGAAAGTGAATGATAATTTGGTTCTGGAGATGTGTTCAGTAACTGAAATCGGTAGAGAATCATTGGATTACGATGATGCAAATGTAGAAAGCTGCCTTTTAGATTAAATTTAATGTAATGTTTTCATCCTTCTTAATAGCTAACATACTCTTTTGTATTTTTATTTTGTATTTAAATATTATAGTTTGTGCTGACTATAAAGTATAATATGTGGCTTGTGTTCTCTATCCTATGCAAACTCTTGAAATTAAACTGAGTTTTTAAATTTCTTTTTTAAAATATCGATTTGAATTAGGATTTGATTTTGAAATGCTAAGAAAGAATGTGTTCAAAATAGAGTAATTTTCCAGATTTTTCTGTTAGCTCTTTATAAAAAGCATCTAGAAAAGACTAATAAAAATTTATTAGCAAAAAAATTAGAAATACAATTACCTTTTGGTAAAATAAGTGATATAAGAAAATAAGACTTTGTAGGTATTCAGAACATTAAAAATGTAAATGTTGCCCATTTATTAAGAATTGAGATATTTTAAGTGAAGCAATTTATGTTAAAAATGTCAGCCTTTAAAAATTTCATGTAGATTTTACTGTAATCAGGAATCTCCTCTCTCCCTAATCTGTCCTCACATGTAGATGAGAATACATTCTTGAGGCAAAATCTTTCAGTCAGTATTAAACATTTACAAATTTTATGATATCATTAGCATTTATATTTATGTATAGTGTGTATATACAAAATATTTAAAGCAAATATCTTTTTTTTAATGTGACTTCCCTCTTTAATGGATTGGTATTTCTCAAGCAAGGCACTTATGACCTTTTGGTAACACGTGGGAAATCAGTTTGGTATCATCATTTGATTGTAATACAGCATATCTCAAATGATGTTTCTGTCCTAGAAGTCTTAGAACTACATCTATATGTGGCTGCAGTTGAGAGCCAAATTAACAGTGGATTGAGCCAGTTGGGAGTTTAGTTCTTTTCAATTAAGTCCAGAGGCTGCCCAAGGTTGGTATAGTGGTTTTGTTTCACATTCCTTAGGGCTCCCTCCACCCTTACGATATTGGCCCTTATTTTCCTAGAGACCAAGAGTTAGAGTTACAGTTATGACATCATTTCTTTTTTTTTTTTTTCTTAAGAGAGATTTTTTTACTATAGGGTATGTGCACTTACCAGAGAGTCAAAGAGACAGAAAGCAAGAAATCTCCCCAGTAGGATGGCCACGCCACAATCCCTTTTCCTCCATTCTCCTCTTGGGACTTTGGACATGCATGCACACACACCCTGGCATGAGGTTTTATGGGGTTCTTTGGAGAGATTTTTGCTATAGGGCACGTGGCTCGCCAGAAAGACAGAGAGAGACAGAAAGCGAGAAATCACCTGCCAGGGGGCATGGCCATGCCGCAATCCCTTCTCCATTCTCCTCTCGGGATCTTGGGCACGCACGCAGGTGCACCCGGCATGAGTTTAAGCCACCGGGTCCTGGACTCGAACCACGGTCGACTACATGGGAGTTCAGCAACATAGCCATTACACTAACTGCTGGTCCCATCCTGGCATGAAGCTGCTGGATCTGGGACTCAAACCATGATCGACTACAGGGGAGTCCAGCGACGTAACCATTATGCCATTTGCTCCCACCACATCATTTCTTAAAGTATATTTTAATGCCAAATAAAGGTAGCCAAAAAATTCACAAAATCCTTGTTTTTCTCTTTTTGTGCTGATGGGTGTAAATTTTATCATATCTATAGTCTTTGGAAATTTCCTAACTTTTAAATGACAAAAGTAAACTCAGACCTGCTTTGGATGGTCTCTGGGCCTTAAAGGGCCATTACTTGAAGTGTATTAACTCATCGAACTGGGCCAATCAAAGGCATATGTACCCTCTAGGTGGTTAACGAAAAGGTAAAGAGGTCTTTTCATCAGATGGAGTGGGCAAAGAAACAAGTAACATCTAGCACTGTTCCCTCACCTGCTCTCAATCCTGGTTGTACACAATACATTCATCATTCAGGCATTCTCCCTTGTGATGAATGTGATCAAGTTTCTTGGACTTTAATAGATCTCTGCCAACTCGTCTCCCCGGGTAACTCAAGTGGCTAGATATTCCTCAACAAGAATAATGTAAGAGGCCAATAGAAGCCTAAAAGCATCAATCCTTATATGACATATTCTTCCTGTTTTCCTCAAAACTAGTCTACTCTTCAGGGGTCCCTTTTATTCCTTCAGAGGCTGGAATTATACCAGTGGCAGGTGCCTTATGTGGCCTTTTTTTGTTTCTGAGACTTACAGGAAACATTAGTAGAGTTGCTCTCTCAGTGCCATGAGAAGCTGGGTGTTGACTGCAGGGTTCAGAGTTGCTGAGCAGTTTGGGGCTATTAAGGCTGTCTTGCCATAGCAGTAGACTTCATCAACATCTTAAATCCTATTCTCTTACCTCATTAAAGTCTTAAGAGATTCCTTTTCTACTATTTATAAATAAGCTTCCAAAAATTAAAGTTAGGCTGGAAAAGTCAATTCAAGAAAAAAGATTGAACTACTATATCACTAGGATCTCTGCTGGGGTGGAGGAAGGAGACACCACAAAAATGTAGAACACATGGACGTTATCTTCAAAAGATCACAGTCCCACATGGGAGATCTTCATTATAAGTTGAGTTACAAAAATGTCATAAGTGCAAAGATGCAAATGTAGAGATGTTGCAGAGAGAAGGGAGCGCTGTGGGGAACAAATTGGCTGTCAAGAAAGGCATCATGGAAGAATGACATCGAGCCAGATTTGGGTTGATAATTGGTTGTGGGGAGAGGAAGGTTATTTCTAGCAGAGGGAGCAGCACCGAAGCAGCAGAATAGAAATACTGTGAGGAAGGAAGTAGGCATAATATTCATATGCTAAGAAATTTGTTTTCCTCTTGTAAATAAAGCCATCTTTCAGATCTTAGACAAGCTTATCTTTTAATCTTGGAAACCATGAAAACACAACCTTGCTGTGATGAGGTACTATTAGGCTAGAAACTTGAATTACAACTTTTTAAATTCTATGTAGATAAACAACTTTTCTGTGAGTAGATGACCAGTCTTTGCTTTGTATATCCTTTTCCTTTGAATTTAGGATTACCATTTTGGGGCCTTTGTCATCAGTGCATAATAATATGACAGAATGCTTCCTAATATTATCAGAGGGGAAAGAATAAATCAAAGTTTAAATGAACATAAAATGCATATAGTTGCATAACTGAACAAAAAATTCTGCCAAACAAGACAAATAGCATCTGGGAATTTCTGAGAACATTGAAATCTGTTCACACAGACTAAGTATCTTTTGATGTATTCTAGTTTTGAAAAATTACAGTTGATTACATAATAAAGAACAGATATAAGGACAAATGCTAATTTTTGACAGAGCTACCTTCTACTCTTAAAGGAAAAAAAATTAATATATTTTTAAGGGATATCCATTTAATATGTTTTTTTTTTTTAATTAAAAAGCCACTAATTAGAGGGACCAACAGATGGTATAATAGTAATGTCACTGGACTCCAGCGTAGTGGACTCAGACCCAGTGGCTTATAAGGAGGAGGATGGAGTAGAAAGGATTGCAGCATGGCCTTCTCCCCTACCCCCCACCCCCGTGTATGTGTGTGTGTGTGTGTGATTTCTTGCCTTCTGTCTCTCTGTCTCTCCAATGAGCACACACACCCTATCACAAAAACCTCTCTTAAAAAATAAATGAATAAATACAAAGCCACTAATTAAAATCAAGTGTCATTAGGCAAGTGAAATATAAATTCTGCTAATTAGAAACTACCAAGTATAAAAATTAGAAGTTTTAATCACTTGAATATTGACATGTTTTGCTGTCAGACCTCAAGTATCAAACATAATATAATTTGTTATATGAAATAAACAGTATTAATATAACTTAGAAAAGTTTTTGGTTGGTTTCTTTAATAATTGGGCTGTCCTTGTTCTAGTAGTAATTCCACTGATTGACAGATTTGGGGAAATAAGTTATTTTCTTGTTGTGTTAACAGTGGCAATAAAACCGAGTCCCACTGTAACAATCCTCTGACACAGGTTCTAAATTACCTGCATTTTTTTTTAAAGGTTTTGCCATAGGGCATATGCATTTGCTAAAGAGACAATGACAGGGAAAAGTGAGGAATCACCCGTTGGGGGAATGGCCATACCACAGTCCCTCCTCCATTTTCCTGGCATTTGGGGCATGCACACACAGGTGACCAGAGTGATTTTCAAGCCTCCAGGTGCAGGTCTCATACTGGTCGGTGAGTCCAGGGCCTTAACCACCACACCACCTGCTGGCTCTTGCCTGTGTCTTAAAGATGAGGAAGATAAATATTAGATTGTTTTTGAACAGTCCTGTAGCCAGTAAATGGCAGTGTCAGGATTTGAACTCAGATTTATCTGAGTTTAGAGCTCAAGGTCTTAACTAGTACATATTTTGCCAATTACGTGTGCATCAGAATACCATCTATAAAATGGGAAAAAAAAATATATTAGATTATTTTTGAACAGTCCTGTAGCCAGTAAATGGCAGTGTCAGGATTTGAACTCAGATTTATCTGAGTTTAGAGCTCAAGGTCTTAACTAGTACATATTTTGCCAATTCTTACGTGTGCATGAGAATACCATCTATAAAATGGGAAAAAAAATGAGTAAAAATGTCTTCACCTACATAAACGTTATAAATAAATTTAAGTTGTGTTTAGTGGTACTAATTTATCATGTTAGGTTCACTTTCTGTGGTTTGCCTTTAAAACAAATTTCAATTTTAATACAGTACTAAATGAATTACTATAGTAGTATAAATATATATTTTAGAGATCTATTTCTGTATTTTCAAATAGGAATTGTATATGAGCAAAAAGAAACTTTAGAAATTATCCTGTTACTCAATTCATATAACTGAACTATCACGTCATTCATGTTCTTAAAGAAACCATAATCGGGACCAGCAGTTGACGTAATGGTTATGTTGCTGTACTCCCATGTAGTTGACTGTGGTTCGAGTTCCAGACCTGGTGGCTTAAAACTCACGCTGGGTGCGTGAATGTGCATGTGTGCCCAAGATCCCTAGAGGAGAATGGAGGAGAAGAGATTGTGGTGTGGCCATCCTCCCCAGTGGGGTGATTTCTCACTTTCTGTCTCTGTTTCTGTCTTTCTGGCAAGCACATGCACCTGATAGCAAAAACCTCTTAAAAAAAAAAAAAGCCGTAATCTAGACAAGTTCTGTATGTACTGTGAAGGTTTATAGCCAATTATGATGAACCTAGGAAGCGTATCAGACTAATACAAACTACATAGAAGTGATCTTGTGGGGCTGGCAGATGGTGTGGTTGTTTAGGGTGCTGGACTCCCACATAGCCAACTGCAGTTTGAGTCCTGGATCTGGCAGCTTGCTTTCTCACTTTCTCTCTCTCTCTCTCTCCCTTGCTCTGTCTGTCTCTGGTCAAAATTTAAATAAATAAAGTTAAATAAAATAATTCTTTAAAAAATAAATTAAAAAATAATAAAAGTGATATTGTTAGGTACAATATGATATAAAATTTAGAAATATGAAACAATTCTATATATAGTTATGAAAGCACAAGTAATATGCCTGGGATATAATGCCGGATTAAGTTTAGTGATTGTTTCAGGGAGAGAAAATGCTTTAGTATGTTTGTAACCTTTCTTGTTTTTTAAAAAAAAAATCATCTTAATACTGTCTAGTTCTAGTTTTAAATAAAAGGGAGACATGGTTAGGTTGCAATGTCTAACTAATTCCTAGTGTGGGCATCTGGGAAGATAGATAGCTCTCCATGTCCTCTATGTACCGACCTTTAATTCTTCTCCTGACTTCCTCGGTAAAATCCAACAGATTACCAAAAGGTGGGACCCCTGAATAAATGGGACTATTTTCATGACATCAGATTCACTAGACCCCTAATCCTTAAAGAAAAACAGTACAAAGGGTAGAAAAATCTTTAAAATGTTTTCTAACATCAATGTTAATGTGAGAGATTAACTAGAGGTTTGGAAATAAAGACCGTTCTCTCTCTACTAAGTCTCTGGGTTTGGATCCTGTTTGTGGATCCCCATATTCAAAGTCCTCTATCGTTTCTCCGTAATTAGCCTGTAGAAGTATGTGGTGAAGGAAAGTAATATTACTAGTGTAAGTGTGCTGTATATCGATAGTGAAATGGCAATCCTATAAATGTATTACTAAATGATACTAAGTTTCCCCATATTAAAGCGTTTGAATGGTGTGAGATCTTTTCTCCTGTGTGTGGTTTTTATGAAACACTACAATTTAACTACTGTGCTGCACATTTATTTTTTAACAGATACAGGACACTTAAAATATCCTACTAATCTAACACCTCTTTGTTCTATAAACATCAAATACGAATAAGACTTGATTCCTGGGCCAGCCCATGGCCTGGTGGGTGAGGGAGCTGGATCCCACATGGCCAACTGTGGTTTGAGTCCCAGATCTTGCGGCTTGAAAAACACCAGACATGTATGCGGACACTGAGCCCAAAATTTCTTAAAAGAGGGAATAGTGGGAGAGAAGAGATTGCAGCATGACCATTCCTAACCTGGGAGGAGGTAGGTACTCTTTTCCTCTCCCTCTGGGAGCACACATACCTTCTGGCGAAGAAAAAGTTAAGAAAATTCCTCACCATCTACCTCTAGTGATTGCACATACTCTTGGGCAAAAACAAAACCAAAAAGACCTGATTCCCGCCCAGGAGAAGCATCAGTAGCTTCCCCAATTATGTGAACAAACCAACAGGCCTAGCCCACAACCTAGCCCACTCTTCTGACTTCCCGGTATGTTTCTTGGGGGATGCTGCTCAGCTTCAGAAAGAGCTGAGGAAGACATTAGTTTACCTCTTGAATTAAACTGTATTCTATTAGAACTAGCACTGCCTAAAATAGCTCAAGAAATTTACCATGGGGCATGGTAATATTTCAAAAGTCATTTTTCTTATCATATATTTGTCCCTTGGGGAGCAATGATGTTTAGTTATTTTTGCCTAGTTAGTGCTGTATCCTTCCGTTCTCAAGTAGCCATCTTTATTTCAGCTCATTCCTGAATGAACGTTCATACGGGACCCAGTATGTATTGGGCACTGTACTGACAAGTGAGACTGTTGGAAAGCTTGAGGTTGGACAGTTTTGGTACAGCCTTGGAGCAGCCCAGCGTTGAGTGGGGATAGGCGCAGGTAGAGAATTATGGAACAGGTATTGAGTGAGGAGCAGTATTTCCCTTAGGAGGAAGTCAGGAGGAGCATCTTGAAGAAGTACAGCAATCATCCCTGTTTGCCAAACATTAATTCTTACCCTTTAAAGGATCTGGACTTACAGTCTGCAAAGTTGTGGACTCCTTACTCAAAACAACAACATTTTGCATATAACTTCAGGGGTTCCACTCATTTCTTCAAATTGAAATATCTCAGGGTAAGGATCTAGACATCTTAATATTTTCAGTCCCAATGAATCCTTTGTAACATAAATATCCTGCCCCTTTTCCTACTTTAAAAAATGTTATTAAGGTATTTTGTAATAATATTCTATTGTAGAATCTCACACAACTTTGTCTTTCATGAACTTATAGACTTCAGTTATTACCGCAAGTGTAAGCTTTTTTCCTCCTTGCTGGCCTATATGTCACAGTTGGAATAAATTCATGTTTTACAGTTTTAAGAAAGTTGGTATAAATTTTGGAGTCTCCTTTCTAATCATTACACCACCCGCTGGTCCCTTTTTAGTATATGTGGTGCAGAAGTGAGCATCTGCTGATCCCTTTTTAAATAATTTAAAATTGGGAGGCCAGCCAGTGCTGGTGGTTAAGGTGGCTGGATCTCACGTGGCTGACGGCTCAGTTCCAGGCCAGACCGGCAGCTTGGAAAATAGGTACTGGGTGCAGAACTTTCCCCAAATCCCAAAAAGAAGGAGAAATGGAGAAGGAATTCCGGAGTGACCAACCCCCATGGGGTATGCTCACTTTCCCTTTGCATGTACTCCCTGGCACTTCCTGGCAATGTGTATTTTTTTAATTTGAAAATTCGAATTTATTCCGTTATCTGCCTCCAGTACCATAGTTGTGTGTGTATGTGTGTTTCTGTCGTCGTTTTTCCTTCTCTGTCTTCTTTCTTTTAGGCTTTTGCCATAGGGCGTGTCTGACTGCCAGAGAGACAGTGAGAGGGGAAAGTGAGAAATCACCGGGGAGGGAGGATGACCACAACAGTCCTTTCTCCTCCATTCTCTGCCCGGGATTTTTGGCACGCTGGAACACGTCCCCCACTCCAGCAGGGAACTGGAACTGTGGTCTGCCATTTGAGTCCGACGCTTGAACCACCACGCCACCTGCTGTGCCCCAGTAACACAGTTTTACTTCTTCCTGCTTTCCATTTTCTTTTACCCCTGGAATTTTAGGCTCAGATATTATCTTTTACTCTTGAAGATTCATTTTTTACAAAAAAGCATGAGTATATACATTCGAGGTCGGTTATTAACAGTTGTTAGCTTCGTCCTCCTTGCACCTTTAAAATGAGTTAGAAGTAGCGCGTGCACCCCCGGAGAAGGCGGATGTTCTGGAATGCCCAGGCTCCGGGGCGTCAGCGGAGCGTCCCGCAGGCGCAGGGGTCTCAGAGGAGGCCGGGAGGGCCCAGGCTCGGAAAAGGAAGCATCACCATCGGTCATTTCTCTTTAGTAAGTAGAGAGGACTCGCGGAAAGGAGGCACAGGGAGGGTTCCGGCGTTCATACCAGAACCGACCGAGGCTAGAGCGCAGCGGAGTAGGGGCGGCTGCCCTGACCCTGTGCCCCGCCAGCCCGCCTCCCGCGCGCGCCTGGAGGCCGCGTTTAAATCTCCCGCCTCCCGCAGCGGAGCCAGACACCTCCACGAACCGGTGCGGAGGGGCACGGGCTGCCGGGGCCACCCCGCGCC